CCCGCAGCTTGGGCCGGCAGAAGCCGGTGGTGACACCTGACAGGCAGCATTGCCCTCAGCCTCGGGAGCTGTGGGCGGTGCTGGTACCGAGGAACTGATGCGCTCTTAAAAGAAAAAGAGGGTGCCCCGTCATAGGGGGTACTGAGGGAAGTCACATCAAACCTGGGGCAATGGGTGCATTTCACCCTCTCTTTGGTTTCACCCCCGTGTGACCTGCGTGTGTAGAGCCCTGGAGTCCCCTAGGGCTCTGTGTGCCTTCTGGCCACTGTTAGCCGGAACAGTTTTGTGGTTCTCTCTCATCAGGGATCGGGAAAGACCCCGGGAAATCAATCCCATAAGGATCGATTGCATCCACAAAAAAAGATGGCTGCCTCAGGATCGAAGGTGCCTTCTTATTTACCCCACATAACCCCAAGGTTAACAAAGGATTTAGTTTGACTAAAGAAGGAATTATGTTGTGTTGGGGGATGAAAAGAGGATTAAGATTTTCTCCAGGGGACACGGGGGTGTAAGAGAGAAAGACTGAGGTAGAAAGGGAAAGTGAAACAGGGAAGCTGTGTTTACTATAGGCCTATGCCCAGGGATTTTGAGGGCATCAGCTAAGCAAAACCTCTTTGCCATCATAAGGTGTGAGAGGCCCTCTCAGCAGAAAGTTGATCTCTGGCAAGTAATTTGTAATTTATGATGAACAGTGTTCCATCTGAGTAACTCCTCATCGTGTGCAATTACTGCACTTAAGGCCTCTGGGCACTTTGGAGCCATTTGCTTGGGGACCTATGGATCCCTCCTTAAAATTCACTGTGCCGGCCTAGCAAACAGGTGGAGCTGTGCTCCGCCGAGTGAGTGGCAAGGCACATGGCTCCTTCAAGTGCAGTGTTTTGTATATTTAGCAGGGTGCAGGCTGTGAAAGAAGGGCTGCTGGGAAGGGAAAACGATAGGAGGAACATGAGCTGATACGGCAGGGTTGTAACGGGTGGCTCTGATGAACTGTTAAAACATTGCAGATGAGAAAAAGTGCATGTCATGAGGGGGTCAGTGAAAACCGATGAAGGTTAGGAAATTGGACACCATCACTGAGGCTGTGGCAACAGGGATAAACAGAGTCTGTGAGAGCCAGATCTGCAATGGACAGCCCCAGTCTGCTTCAAAACAAGAATATAAATAAATAGTTCTGGCAGAGGAACAGAGGCAGCATACTACAGTGCCTGCTCCCCAGCAAGCTGCTGCTTTGAAGCTTATATCAGGAAGCGTCTGCTTCTCTGGTGTGAATGCCTCGATTTGCGCAAGGATAGCTTTTTATGCAGTGGCTAGAGTTCAGTCAGCTTCCTAGAGAGACAGTTTGGGATGTTTGCAGATCTTCCTGTAGGTTTGCTATGTTGGTACTTGTTTCTGATTCCTTGCACTGTCTTCATTTACCATGGTTGCTTTCTCTTTTTTGAAAATATATCAGAAAATGTGATGCTTGAATTTGAATATCGAAATTGGTCAGAGCAAGGGTGGGAGTGGGAGCAGCGTTATCTATCTGTGGGGTCTTGGTACTCACATAGCCTGTTCTTGCCTTGGCTGGGCTTGCTCATGCACTCTGTCCATTGCAAGTTCAACAGACAAGTTTCCTGTAGGAAGTGGTTAATTTAAATTTTTAAAATTTAATTAAGTTCACAAGAGCAGCACAGTTTGCTAAAATAGGTAGAGGGAATGGCAGCCAGCATGATCAACAGTGTTGACTGATTTCCACCCAAGGAAAAACATAAACATAGCAGGATAATTCAGTATGGAGAAGAAGCAGCTGTGGAGGATATGGTGAAAGTCCACAAAGTGAGGAGTGGCATGGAAAAGGTGAAACTGAGTAGTGGCTGTTGTTTGTCTCTCATAAAACAAGAAAAATCACTGAATATACTTACCAGGCAAAGGTCGTAGTTTTTATGCAGCATATTTGTCTTACTGCTGTGGGATATTGGAGAGGCTTAAAGGTATGAAGGACTAAAAAAGTTACAAGGCAAGTTCTTGCTTTGTCCTGCATCAGTTTTGCAGTATTTTGGTGTCTTTTCTGAAATGTAACTCTCCTCCTTTCTGATGTTCCTTTGTAAGAGATTTTTCCTTTGTAAAACCACAGGGCAGTGGTTCTGGTGCTGGCATCTGTGTGGAATTGGTTGTGGGGTACTTTTGTGTTCCCCTGCCCTTGGTTCTAGTTAATACATTGTGTTAAGAGGGAGTAAAGTAAACTAAATTTTCATACTTGTTTCACATCGATCTTCTTCATACTATTTTCTAATGTTAGCTGCAGCTAAAGAATGTTTTGTCATCCATGATGGCTGGAGAATTAGACCTCTGATAGTAAAGAGGAGAAAGAGGAGTTTCCATTAAGACATATCTTAGCTTGTTCACTAAAGTGACACTTCCCTTAAAAGCTTATAGAAGAACCTGATTCAGAGTTTATCACTAAGGCACCAAGTTCTTTTTCTTATACAAATCAGTAATAAATCCCTCACAATATTAATCAGAATCTAGCCTACAATTTGGAAGTGCTCAAAATGTGTTTTAATTGAATAGTAAAAAATCCTGTATTTTTCCTGTTGCTTTCTTTCTTGTGATAGAGTTCAGTTTAGTTCAGGCCTGCAAATGCTTTTGGGTTAAAGTTGCAGGGAGGATTAATGAAAACTGAAAGAGCCTTCATTTTTACTAGAGACTAAACTAATATCTTAGAGTTGTACTTTTTTTTTCCCCCTTTTGAGCATTTTCCCATAGGTAGGAAGGTCTTAGGTAGGCCAGTGGGAACTGATCTAATTTGATAATACCCCTTGCAGATGTAAGAAAAAATGCCTCATGTTACTGTGATCATTTGAAGGTGCTGAAGAAGAAATGTCTCTGAAGGTGAAGACGGATACAGTTGTAAGATATTAACTTAGAAACTAGCAGCTTCTTGGCTTAGCAGGGCAAGATATGATTGTTCATATTGTATGGCAAGAGTGCTGGTAATTGTGACAAAAACAGCATACTTTATTATATGGTCATTTACCTTCAAGACTGGGACAAAGTCCTTTATGCCCTGGAGACAGAGGGAGTTGTAATTCTGACTTCTTTGGAGTTAGGACTTCAACTTTAATTTCTCAGGCAGCCATACAAACAGCTGAGATTACTTCTGTACAAAACCCCAGAGTCCTCATCGTCCTTTCTTTCCAAGCCCTTCTGCCTTTTTCCTTTTTGTTTTTTTATTTTATTTTGATTCTTTTTTAGGTAAGAGCTGTATTTAATGCAGAAAACATGGTTTTAAATTTTTTTTTCTTGTTTGGAGGGCAGAATTGTAAAAAATAAAAATAAAAAATTGATGTAATAGTGGAACAAAAGGAACAGGAAATGTGAGGAAAACGGAGAAGCTGTGTCTAAACATGCTGTATCTGAAATCTGTGGCAAAACTCGTGTAAGATTACAATCAGTTACTTAAAAGAATGCATGTCTGTTCATTGCAGGTCGACCTCACACGCACCTTCACCTTCCGTAACTCCAAGCAGACATACACAGGAATTCCCATTATAGTGGCAAATATGGACACTGTGGGGACGTTTGAAATGGCTGTGGTTATGGCAAAAGTAAGTCTCAACTCTCATTTCTGCAACAGTTGGGAAGCTGCTGGGGGACAGCGAGCAGCCTTTGTTGATTTTTTAGCTAAATTTGTTGAGAACAGGGGAATGCGAGTTTAAAACTCCAGAATAAAGAAAAAGCAGGTGTACTTTTACAACAGCACAGTCACCACAAACAGGGCTCCTGATGTAAGGAAATTTCCATATGATGTAAGGAAATTTCCATATTGGGAAGCTTCCATTTTGGGTGTAGCTCAGCTTCAGGTGGAGCTTTTAGAGCTTGTTTTTGAGGTCCCTTTGTGCTCCATGCCAGAAAAAAAAAATGAGCTGACAAGTTTTAAAAGTGTGGGTTATGGGATAGAACTGCAGCACTTTCTAAGTTAATGACCCTCTGTCACATTCAAAATACTGACAGTTGCGTAATGAAACATGTCATAAACCTGGTCCTGAAAAGTTGGCTAAGTATGCCAAGTTGCTTTTGAAGAGCTGTTTGTAGTTGCCTGGTCTGTTATTCACTGTTACTGTTTCTTCCAAGCAGGATGAGCCTATATTTAAAAGGGGATTTTCTAATACCTTATTTTGCAGCTGAGGGAAAAATTACTAACTGTGACATTAATATCAGTTCTCTTGTTTTTTTGCTAGCATGCAATGTTCACTGCAATTCACAAGCATTATTCTCTGGAAGAATGGAAACTGTTTGCTGCCAATCACCCAGAATGCCTTGAGGTACATTTTTCTACTGTAAATTATTATGGTTTATTGCTTTGTTCTGAACTCACATACACTGGATTCTCTAGGGAATGCTGTTGTCAAGTGAGGTTTTGGGGAATGAAGATATTTGCTGTTCTTAAATTCATGAAGGGAAGTGGCTTGTCCTGATTTAAAAGAGGGGCTGCGTGAGTCCATTATGAAAGTGCTTATATGAAGATGCTAAAAAGCAAAGTTTCTATATGCCTGGAATGGAAACAGAGAAGTATCCTGATGAAGGAAATACTTAGGAATAGGCACGAGTGCTGTGCTTCTGTTGCTGTTGCGAGCTGTGGTAGTTCACTGATGTGAATAATTTCAAATAACCCAACCACAGCCGGCCCTGCACACCCTTGTGCCAGGCAGAGTCTTTGCCATTAGGTGTGCAAGTGGATCTGAGTCTCCAGGCTGGAGGGGCCTAGGGGCTGGGCCCAGGCAGGGATGAGCACTGAAAGTTGTCAGGGCTTGTGTGTCCTCCACTTACCTTCTTGCACCAGAGCTCACTTTGTGCTATCCCACTTGTTCACAGGGTCCCAACCTGAGCCATTATGTTCAATCAATTTAAACATTGACTTAATTTGTGACTTTCTCACATTCAGACAACTTCTTTTCTTCTGGCAGGCCACTGTACCAGTAGAGGCACTGTGAGTGTGCCTGGCCATCTCCCCTTCCTGCTCAAAGTTCGGTGGAGTTTTTGATCTTTCTCTGTATAGAAAAGAATACAACATTGCTGTGTTGTATCTTTACCTGTGGCACATTTCAGAATTATATTATAAAGGCTATTGATTACAGAGTTGCTGAAAGTGAGCCTAGCACTCTGGCCAGTCAGGATTCCTTACATGCTGCTATAGGGTAGAAAGTGGTCTCAGGAATGTCCTGTGTCTGAACACTTCCAAACTTAACTTATTTGTGGTATATAATGACTGGAATAGGATCTCCTATTCCAGTAGTGATTAAATACTGACTTGCACAGTGACCTTGGATTTCTGCAGAGGTTTTGTAGGCCAACAGCTGTGGAAACTATTTTTCCTTTGGAAAGAACTCATTGGAAAACAAAGGAAGAAGCAATCTGCTTGTTTTCAATGGTAGCTGACCTTGCTTGAGAAAGGGGATTAGACTACAAAATCTCCAGAGGACCTTTCCCAACAAAATTATTCTGTGATTCTGTACATCACAGGAGTGCTTGGTGAACTTAAAAGACCTAGACTTTACTCTCTGACAGTGCCCCAAATTTTACCTAACTTCCTGGAAATATACCAAGTTAGGGCTTCATCTTGTGTTCATGTTAATATGAGAATGGCTGAACTTGACTGATCTCAGATGATTATATATGCCAGTGACAATCCACTTGTGAATGAATGCTAGAAAGCTAATTTCCCTCTCTTTTATATAATTTAAACTAGACAGAAATAGCCCACTGATTTTCCCAGGAAGGTATTTATTTCATATTACATAGTGTGATTTTTCACTAGTTACCAGCACAAGGCCTGCCAAGATTATGCAGGAAAAGACAAACAAATTGTGTGTGTTTATTTTATTTTTTGCAACCAACTACTCTGTTTTGTTCTCTCTGTTTTTTTTAGCATGTAGCAGCAAGCTCAGGTAGTGGACAAGAAGATTTGAAAAAGTTAACAAGTATTCTAGAGGCCATTCCAGCTATCAAATACATCTGCCTGGATGTGGCAAACGGCTATTCAGAGTATTTCGTGGAGTTTGTGAAGTCCGTCCGTGCCCTGTTCCCACATCACACCATTATGGTAAGTGTGTAGAAAGGGTGGAGGTGTGTGTGTGAATTCTGGCCAGGAACAGGACCCAGAGTTTGACTGGCAGGCATCAGAAGTTGGAAGAGGAAGGGTGTTCAATAACAGTTTGGTATTGTCCGTCCATTGCTGATGATTTCTGTGGGAATGGTTAGGGTGTGATCTGATGCAGCTGTCTAAGTAAGTTGGCATGGAGGACTGGCTGGATCCAGTTCTTTTCCTACTCATGTCCTCCTTCCCACTCTAGATGAGATCTCTGATCATTAAGTGTATAGGTTAATTTTGGTGATTCCAAGCAGAGGTTTGCTGTGGGAATGTACCAACATTTCTGGGCAGCTGGGGCCAGTGATTGTTAGATCACTATGAAGACAGATCAATGCAGACTGATCCTTGTCTGTGATAAGAATGAGAGGGATGTGGGGCTGTTGTAAACAGCATTATAAGGGAGCAAAATGGTCAGTGCTGGGGCTTTTCATGGTGCTTTCCGTGATGTTACTATCCCATCTCAAAGTGCTAATTCATGCTTCCTTGAGGTCTTTTGCACCAAAAATAAGATGTTTACATGGCCATGGAACTCCTAGCAGAAGAGCACTACTGCTGCTTTCCCAGGGCTCTTGAAGAAATGTGTCTGAATTGTTTCCATGAGAATAACAGAAATCCTCAAACAAGCAGCAGATTGGTAGTGAGGTTACCAGCCTTTCTTCAAGCCAGTGCAGCAAAAAATCATGTGTTTAGGCATCACTCCCTGCTTTCCCATGCCACAAATAAAGTAAAGTAAAATATAAATGTAAAGCAAATGTGAAGTAAGAATGTTCCTAAATGCACATTCTCCCTTTGTTCAATTGAGAATAACATATTCAAGCAGCTCAGAAGAGGATGCATTTCCTTTCTCCCATGTCAGAGGAAGGCAATGTTTTTGCTTTGGAATGATGGAAAACTGAAGTGAGCTGGAATGCTTGTTGGATGCTGGGTTATCATAGGCTGATGAATAGGCATTCTTCAACAGCTGCCAGGAGAGATGAGAGCCATTTTGGTATGCTCATATTTCCCATGGCTTTGGAGAGAGAGATTTTGGAACTATGAAATGATAAATGTGGGCCTTCTGAGCTCCTTTGGATCTGAAGTGTTGTCCCTAGTGACATGATTGCTCCAGTGATTTTGTCTTTGAAGTGTTGTGGGAGGGAGCTTAAAGCACATAGTTAAAGCCAAAGATTATCTTTGTCAGGAGTGGAAAGAAAATTGTGTGTCATGCCCTCCCCAACCTCCCCACCGATTGCTGACTTTGCTGACTGAGGAGGGAGGTCAACCAAGATGAATTCCCCAGAAGGCAGAGAAGGTCAATGTCAAAGTCAGATATTAGATTTAAAAAAACCCAGATTTTAGTCCAGGGTGCTTAGGCCAGTCTCATCCACCTTCTGCATCTGTTTGGCTGCCTTCCTGGTATCTGTGCTTTTGTGGCTAAGGTTATTGTTACTTCAGGTCTCATTGTCCTGACAGCACCACCTGCTTGAGCACATTTACAGCCAGCCCTGACCTGTTCAGTTGCCTTCTCTGATTGTAGCTCCTTTATCTGGACATGGCTTAATATGGCTTATGTTTTTAATCTGCACAGCAATAATTTCCACTCCTAAAAGCACACTAACAAACTTGGGGTGTTCAAAAACCTTCAGCTTTCCAAAGCCTCCAGAATCTGTTCAGTCTCTGAAGATCTCTGATTCAACTAGACACCCACCTCTACCCTGCTTCCAAATTAATTCATGTTCTGTGCCAAAATGGCCTTTTGAAGCTGTTCCTGGCTGAAATGCAGGAGCTGGTCTAGGCTCCTTTTAATGGCAATCTGGAAGACATGTCCTGCTGCTACCTGTTTGTTCTGACTGCTTTGGTGTGTCTGTGCTATGCCTGCAGTATGTTCTCTGCTGTTGAGACTTTCAAACAAAAGGAGCAGTTAAATAGGAGGTATAAAAATAAAGAAGCTTTCTCATAGCTGAAAGTGATCTCCAGGACCTTGTTTGCTTTCCTCAGCATGACTGTTCATTCCACAGTCAGCTGCAGTGAAATACATAACAGAAACCCAACCCTGGATCTCGGGGAATGTGTGTTCCCAGGGGCCACGTAATGGGCTCAGCTCTGAGGCTGAAAGGGGATGTGCAAAGCAACTGTGGTTAATGTTGTGCTCTCTGTGGCCAATACTCCCTGGCAGACCAGTGATGTCTCTTGTGTAACAACCCTTCAAATCCATGTTTCTGTCTTTTTAAATACTGACTTTTATAATCACATTGCCTTATTTTCTTCTGCCTGGTTCTGACACAAGGTTTTTTCACTTTCGCATTTTGTATTAATTTACAAAGAACATCTGTTTCTCCATGGAACACAAAGGGTAGAGAAGACAAATGGGCACAAAAGTACAACATGACTTGTCTTAAATCACTCATCGGGTTGGGAATGGGGGAAGAAAGGATATTTAAGTCTTCTGAGTGTCTCACAAGTGCCTCCCAGAACCAGGAAGATCCTGAGGAGGATCACCCATTGGGGGGTTTTGCTATTGTGCAGCATTATGTGCATCAATTATGCTTGCTTGCCCAAGTCTAAAGAAAACCTTTAGTCAGCATTCATGATGGAGGATCAGAGCCTTTATATTACAGGTTGCATAGTCCTTATTGATTAGTTTAATTGTAAACTTTAGGGTTATTCTATCACCCTGAAAGTCTGTTTACAAGCTGAGTTGTCTTTGTCTGCAAGCTTTGCCAAGTTTTTATCCTGAATTTTTGTTTTCATGCTATTCCTCTGTTCCTTATAGAAGAGCAGCCCTGCGGGGAGCAGGGAGTGTGGCAGGAAGAAGACTGAGGCAGGAGCACACTTGGAGATACAGTAGCACCCACAAGATGTGGGCCAGAGAGGGAGACAAGCGGAATTGCAAAGCAGAAGCAGAGGGAAACAGCAGGAGCCAGAAATTGTTGCTCCTCCTTGGAGTCAGTAGCAGAACTTTTCTGGGCCTTGGAGGCAGAATGGAGGCAGGATTCAGTCAGGGAAAGCCATGGAGGGTACTCCCAGTTCATCCCTGGAACACACACCAGAGTAAATTCAATTGTGACATGTCTACCAGGGCTGGCATCTGAGAACAGGGGCCAGGCAGGATCCCAGGATAGGAGCGAGGGATGCTGCTGAGCCTGCCTCAGGTGAGGCACAGTACTGTGTGCAAGCACCCACTGAGTGTGGCTCAGCCTTGCAAAGGGCATCTCCATCTCATGGTTAAGCACCCCTTACTTTCGTGGGTGGGAAGTGTCCTTTGGCCGTCTTCCTGATAATGTGGAGGCACAGACTGTGCTTTCCTCTAGGATACAAGAAGAAAGTTTGAGAACTGTTGTCATAGACACTTCTCCCCAGCTAGATCCATTGCCATTTGCCAGCAGCTTTCAATCAGTGCAGCAGTGTTCCTGTCTTAGGCAGTATGAGTTGATATTTATAGCAGGCTTTCATGAGGCACAGTATCAAATGCCTGACTGAAATTCAGAGGCACTGCCCTATGTGTTCACTAATTTTCTATCTCTGTCAGAGAAGCTGTAGTCTTTATAATCCTGTTAGGTAAAATCTTGATCTCAGTAAAGTCAGTAGGGAAATTCCTTTGGCTTTTCTGAGGCTGGGATTTTCCTCAGGACTGACCCACAGTTCAGTCATCCTGGATAGTGCTGGAATGACCTGGGTTGGCATTCACTTGGGACCCCATACTGAGTGATGGACATCACAATACTTGCACCAATTGCTTTGTTCCCTGACTACTTGTGTAAACACATGACAAAGTGTATTGCTTGTAGTGACTTCACAGTGCATGTTCCAATTGTGTTCTATTCTTTCAGCTAATTTTAAGAGGGTTTAATTTCTGTAGTCTCAGTCTTTCTATATTGATCTTTTCAGATTTTTGTTTTTAAAGTTGAGGTATTTTGGCTTTACTGTACCAGTGGAGACTTCAAAAGCCCTTTTGCCTCAATTCAGCTGTCATACTGGCGTGAGTGGTAAGGCAAGCATTGGTTTCAGTAAAGCAGAGTTCAGCTGGCTATGAGTAAACTGATTTCCCTTCAGCTGTCATACTGGGGTCTCTTCACATACGGCTAACTGTGCCTCTCTCATAGTGGTTTTTTTTTTGTGCTCTCTGAGGTCTGCAAAAGATAACCTCAAAGAAGCAAGCCTCTCATTGGCAGGTTGAAGTCTGCTATGTAGAGTTCCATGTCTTCCTTGAAAATTTGTAAAGGATCTGCAGATTTAGAAGCACAGAAATCAGTGATGTGTGTACATGCATTCCAGGAAAAAATATATGCTGGGGACATAAGTGCTTTTCCCTGCTAGGATGAGCATTTTCAACCAACATATGCAGTTCCAACATTTTCTAGCAGTAACTTAACAGTAAACGTCTGGTTAACATTTCTGAAGAGACAGTTTGACAACCTTCTATGCTCTGCTAATAAGAAGACACTGCTGTTTAAGTTAAATACATATTTTACCCCAAATCTCATGCAACTACTGACTTGAATACCTGCTCCTTCCTATTTATGAATCTTTTTAATGTGCTCCAGTGTTTCACCAGGTTGTACTGTGGTGTGTGTCATACAGCACAGGTGGTCATCTGCCTTCCAGAGGTAAACTGTTTCCTTGATGCCCTAAGTGGCACTCTCTCCATCACCCCATCTTGGAATGAACAGCACTTAGTATAACAAATTACCACTGAGCAGAAAGGAAGCAGCACTTAGCTGAAACACCGTACCTATTATATACTCTTTATTTCCTGATTGTTCTATTTTATTTTTAATCAATATCATGCTCTTTTGAGCAGATTTAAGTGGTCCTGTATCATAGACCACAAATTGCTGCTTGACATTCTCACTATTTTTCTAAGTGCTTCAGGTGTTTCAAGCTAATAAAAGGAGGAAGCAAAATTCAGTAAAAATAAATAAATAGTGAAATAGGAGTCAGAAATCAGTAAGTGGAGAACTGGTCTTGCCCAGTATTCCCTGGGTACTCTTCTGCTGACTTCAGCAATAGTTACATTTGAATAAAAACTGTACTAAGTAAGGACTTTAGAATTTGCCTCCTCCTCTACCCCTATCAGTGCTGCTGCAAACACTTATTAAGTCCTGCATTATCATTATGTAGGAGATTTCTGAACATCTCTAGATCCAAGTTCAGATCTCTAGAAATGAATAGTCTGTCCTTAGTACGAGTGCAAAACAGGTTATGTGGAAAACAGGAAGTTTCTCTTGTGCAGTTTTCCTGGTTAGGAATGTTCTGTAGACATGAGACAAGCCACAGAGCTGAGTTACAAACCAGCTTGGTTTGTAATTGTCTAAGAGTACTGAAGGAGATAGGAAATGTTGGAGCAGGACTCTTCTCATCACCTATCAAATGTCTTGGGAGCGTGGGGAGGTTCCTGTTGACAGAAGTGGAAACAGTGTTATTCCAGTTTACAGGAGGAATGTGAGGGAAGACCTGGGAAACTAAACACAAAGGCATGGGGCATTGCCCACCTCTGTAGGAAGCCCATTCTAGGGTTTGTCCACCCTCTCACTGAAGAACTGATTATTCATGTCACGTGAACCTCCCTGAGGGACACAGCTTTGAGCCATTCATATGCATCCTGTCCCTGGATCCCAGGGAGAACTCAGCACCTCCCTCTCCACCTGTCCTCCTCAGGAAGCTGTAGTGAGCAATGAGGTCACCCCTTGGCCACCTTCTCTCCAAGCTAGATGAGCCCAGTGCCTTGGCCACTCCCCACAGTACCTGCCTTTCAGTCACATCACCAGCTTTCCTACCTTCTTCTGACACATTCGAAGATTTTCATATCCTTCTCAAATTGTGGGCTGCAATTTATAGGATTGCGTTCCTGTACAGTGTTCCCTCAGAGTATGGGAATGCAGTTAGTACAGCTGTAGTGAGTCAGTTCAGGGTGTGCTATGTCAGCATTCATTTGCTTTGTGCAGCCCTTTGCAGAGAGGAAAGCGTGGTCTGAAAATGCACTGGCTAACAGTTTGTTTTCAAATGTAACTCAAAGCATAGGTTTTAGCTCATAAATCTCCTTTGAATAGGATTCAAATGTCATTTGAAATCCTTGCTCTTTGAAGACTGTCTTTTCCCTGAAAATCATCTGGACAGAGGACACTCCTGGCAAGGGAATTAATCTCTAGCCTCACTCTGACTGCTGATCCATCAGATGCACAGTTGGAACACATGCAAGGGCCTGTCTTGTCACACTGAGCTTGTATCAAAATGTTTCTTTAAATGAATAGAAATAGACTGGCAGCTCTCTGCACTTACTGCACCAGTTTTGCAGGCCAATTACCAAGTGTGTGCTCAAAGGTTGTTTTGTAGTTTCTTTTATTAAAAGTATCAGTAATTTAATCACACCGGCATTCTTAGCATTCACAGCATCCATGAACCAGAAAAATCTGTATCTCATGGTTATTACAGGCCACATACCCAGCCGAGGCTCTGGCACAAGAGGGCCCCCACCTCAATAAACCACATGTGGAAAACTACTCTAGGAATAGGTAGCACAGTATCAGGGGCAGTTCTGCAAGTTTCTGCTACAGTTTGGAGTAGGTAAATGTTCCTGGAGGCATGAGTAGATCACAAGGTGACTGTGAGCCACCAGTGTGACACAGGCAAAGGCATTCTTCTGTGTCAGGCAAGATATTTCCATAGAAAAGGCAAAAAGCCTTTGTGCAAAGCCTTGGTGAGAACTCACCTGTACCACTGTGGATAGTTCTCATTCCTCAGGTTCAAGAAAGATCTGTCTGGTATGACTTCAAGGAAGTCTGATATAAGGAAAACAAAGATTAAGCAATTGATTGGGGATGTGGAGAGCCAATAGAAGAAGTTTTCTAGAAGAAGCAAGACAAAGGCTGAGAGAGCTGTCTTCACTTTCAGCAAAGATAACGATGTAGGCAAAAGGAGGAAAAGACCTGTTGAAGTGCAAGAAAAAATAGGGTAAAGAACAAAAGAACACAAACCAATTCAGAATTTCTTTCCAAGAAGATGTAACCCTAACCAGCATGCTCTCTATATCTCTGCAAAGGTCATGCAGAGGGAACCAAACCCCTGTTTTTAACCAGTGGCATCACCACAACAAAATATGTCTATATGGTGTGAATGCTCAGATTTATATAGTCTGTATATACATACCAATTTTGGCACTAATGCAGAAAAATTAGAAGAATAGTACCTTCCTTTCAGTGGGCAAAATACTGAATCCTAAAGGAAAAAATTATTTTTCAGCATTTTAAACAAGATCTGAACTCCTGCAAAGCGAGTTAGGCAAAAGGCATGGAGGTCTCTAGGCTGTTCTGGAGAGACAGAGGTAGGGCAGGAGAGGTGAAGGAGTTCACTGTATATAAGAGAGAAGAATAGCCCCTGTGGTTAGGGATGATGTGGTTGAGAGCCTCTGGGTGAGGATTGGGGTGATGGATGACAAAGCAGATCTGATGGAATGCTAAGGATCAGGGTTTACTGGACTACTTGTTAAATTCATTTGACTTGAGAATTTACCTGGTTTAGTCTTGGTGGCATGTCCAAGGAACAGTATGATGAACTATATTCTTCCATACTCTGCGTAGTTCAACTTCTAAAAGCTCTGGATCAAACTTTTCATTATAGTTTTTAGTCTTTACTGCAGTAGTCTTGAAATCTCCTGTACCTGTGATACTGTTCTTTCTTTCTAGGCAGGCAATGTGGTGACAGGAGAGATGGTAGAAGAACTTATTATTTCTGGAGCAGATATTATTAAAGTGGGTATTGGACCAGGTAAGTAAAATAAAGGTGGCTTTTGGTATCATTGGTAGAGGATAGAGGAGTTGTCCAGATGGAACAAGTATATAATGCTGTTTCCTTGCCTGTTTGAATGCCAAGACCCACTCAGGTCAATAAAGTACCAGTGAACTTGCACACAGTGCGTTTAAGAAATTTACATACTGGGTGCCAGTGTTTCATACTGAACAGTGTTGCATATTGCACCTCCAGTCAGTGAAGATAGTTGGTTTTGGAAGCACTGGGCTGCCTGAGTTCCTGACATTACCACTGATAACATGTGTTGTGTCTGGGAACACTTTTCTAGCCTGCTGAAAAGAGGATGAGTCATCCGAGCTAAAGCTCAAAGGATGCTGTGTCCAGGTGTCCACTTCTATCAAGGAAAGATGTGTTTCTGAGTAGCTTTATGATTTGTGTTCTGTGAAGCTGAGGTTATCCCTGTCAATGTCTTCAAAGATGAAATGGTGTTAATTGTGAAATGTGGATAACTTTGCCTCTACCTGTTACTATTGCCTGGGAGCTAAAATTTACATTAATGTACTTACATGCTGTCTATCACTCTAAAATTTCCATGGATAAACAAGAGAACCTGGACCTTCTTACAGTGTTTTCCCTATCTTCCCTTCCCTAATGTTGTCTGGCATACACTGCCATAATCTTTCTTTCTTTTTTTTTTTTTTTTTCCCTTCCTTGTGCCTTCCTTCACATGTTCCTTTTTTTGCTATTTTCTTCTTAGACTGCAGCTGGAGTCACCATATGTGGGCTAGATTTTAAAGTGGCTAACACAAATGTCACTGGCAGTATAGCTGTGATCATCCAGTGCAGTGCAGGCAGATTGTTTACTCTGCAGTGCCAGATAGTTATGGTCCATGAATGGATAACTGGAGCAGAGAAAATTATGTAATAAACCTTGCAGTTGTTCCCAGGAAGATATCAAACAATAAATAGTGCAAAATACATTAAGAATCAACAACAGAGATTTCATGGTGTAATTGTCATGGGCAAATTCAGATTTAAAAGAAGAATAATTATAGTTTGTAGCCTCAAACATGGAAATGTGGGTAAATGCTGTATAGTCTTCCCTGGAGATCTTCCTGAACAGATCTGTACAAGTTGACCCTGCAAACCCACATGTAATGAATGTTTCTCCCTCAGGTCTTGAAGCTCTTTTCCAGATAATGATCTATCATGTTATTATAAAGCATTACATACACTATGCAGTACAAGCCCTGTGGAAATCATATTTTTTGCCTATTTAATTAAAGCTAACTTTCTTACTATTTTTCAAGAATTCTTCTAAGTGTTTTCACTTTGTCAGTTCTTGGAAGGATCTTTGGTAACTTTTGCTTTACTGGTAGCTTGAGTATACCTGGATATCAGCTGAGTGAAGGGATTCATATTTCACTGCATTTTGGTTTAGAAACTGTTTTGAAATTCTCGTTATCATGCGGACCTTTTAGGTCTGTATCCTAAATTATAGTACCTAGACTGGCAAAAAGTACTCCTCCTTTTGACTTTTAATTTGAGGGAACAAAATAGAGAAGGTATTCCAAAAGGTCCATGTTGCTATGTTGAACTGTAAGTAAATTGGTTTGTATATACATATGTAAAATATGTTATATATAGATAGATATATACAGATAGATACATACCTTTATTTTTATCTATATGTACATGCATGCACAATGTATGGGTATAAATAATATAGTTCAATGAGTAGATATAGTTCCTATATTTCCCTTGTTGTTGTACTGTTCAGCTTTCAGATGATTACTTATCTCACTTTTTAAATGCTATATGCTGATTTTTTAATATTCCCCAAAATTGTCATCTGCCAAATATTCCTGCCTTCAGTATTAAACAAAAGATGGGAAAATTGTTACCAAAAAAAATCACAGATTTTACCATAGAATTGCTTCTTTAAACATGCAGAAAAGAGATAGAAATATTTATTAGAAGACATAGTTGGGTAATAAATGCTACTGCTGAGTCTCACAGGTTGTTATTCTGGTCCTTTTGCCCCTTCTCTTCAGGCACCTCAGTCAGATTTGCTTTCTTGTGATGAAGTAATTCTTTCACTGAGAAGCATTACTGATGGGAACTAAATTGGGACTGGCAGTGGAGAAGAAAGGGGGGACATGAGTCTCCTCAGCCACAGCTCCCCTGAAGTGGCATGAGAGCATTTCAGAATTCAAGTTCCTATATGCTCCTTTTATCTGTGAGAAGCCAGCATTGGCAATAGAGACTTCTTGGGAGAACAGTAATGCTGATAGAAACACATTTTTTTCTGTATAATTTCTGTCATCCTGATGAACTATGTATCTTCCTCTCGTTCTCTTGTCTAGGTTCTGTGTGTACCACTCGGATTAAGACAGGGGTGGGCTATCCACAGCTAAGTGCTGTTATTGAGTGTGCAGACTCAGCACATGGCTTGAAAGGACATATCATCTCTGTAAGTAACTATCATCTGCTCTGATTCCCACTGTGCAAACCGTTGTGGAACAGGAGAATCAAACAGTCCAGTACCCTGCATGTTAAAGCCTGTCCTTCTGTCATTCCCAGTTGACTCCTGTGCTAGTTCCTAGGACAGTCAGTGGAGATCCAGATGTAAAAAAACCAGCTCTCTAACATTTAAAAGATGCGGGTGCCTCACTTCTGTTTTGTTTTTCAAACTGTGCTTCTTCCTTTGTGGAGTAAGCTGTTACGTAAACAGAATAGGGAATGTTTTCACTATTGAAGCAAGCTGTAACTCCTCTGAAAGACTTCTGTAGGGGTGGAATGTAAACATTGCTTTCCTCAGAGTGTGACTGAGGGGTAGGCAGGCAGGCATAGAGGGGAGTACAAGGGAAAATGATGTGAGCCCATCTGTGCCCTGGTTGGATTGATTCAGAGAGCATCCACACAAAGCTCTCTGTGCAGGGACAGGAGTGTTTGAGGCGGCTGTTTTGAGCACAGCTAGCACGTGAGCCACTTATGTTCTCACTAAACTCGGGGGAAATAACAAGCCTGTGGAGGAAAAAGAGCATCTGTCTGTATTGCCTGCTAATGGCAGTTTCTACTCTTGTCAGCAAGACCAGATTCACCTCACAGAGAGAAGGTAAATTGGTAGTAAGCATGGTCCCAGACTGAGCTGGAGTGCAGCCTGCAGCGCCCGAAGGTCCTGTGTGCTTGGGCATACACAGGCATGTCAGGCTGGCACAGCCTCTGCAGGCTGCCTGTGAGGCAGCTGCTCATGGGGAGGGCACAGGGGCTCACCTGTGTGCTGTGCTCACAGCCAGCAGCCTCCCTCTGCCCCTCTAGGAGAGACCGCACACTGGATTTTAGTTCTACTGCCAAGGGAAATCACTGGAAAGCCCTGGTTTCTTTGACCCGGTTGGGACTAGTATCCATGGGAGGAAGGAATGTTCTGTTGTGTTGTTGAGGAGGGAGGTGAGAGGAAAACAAACTGGGGGTGGGCAAAGGGTTTGACTAGATCTCTTGGAGTATGATAGAGCAGGAACATGTGTTACAGTCAGATTTCTCTTGCTCTTTATTGTTAATGAATGTTCAGTCTCTCCTCTCTATGGCTTCTCTATGTGACTTTTGCAGAAAAAAAGGAAGCAGTCTGGGATTTCTATGACTTGGGCAGTATTGCAAATGTTTCTGTCTATAACAGACAGTAGAACGTGTGCAATAGAGCATGAACACCTCACTCATTACTGTGAAGGCTGCCTAAGTATAGTTGTCATCCTGGCAGTGGTGCTCAGAGACCCATCCTAGTTTTGCAATAATCATTTTCTTCTAGCAGCCCTCAGAAGAATGCTGTTATCCTGATTTTACAAGAAAACAGAGGGTCTGTATTCAGACTGTTGAAAAATTAGATGGTTCTGTACTGTATTTCCTTTCCTGCTTTGGGAATGGATCAGTTCTTGACTTGCTCAGGTTTCAGTGGTCCCACACCTATCAGCCCCCAGTGTGGGAATGCAGGAGGGCAATTTGATACCTGTCTGCTAGCAACATCTGGGCCAAGAGAAATACCTTCAGCTGCAGCTCACATCACTTCAGCTCAACTCTGTCACCTAATCTAAGGAGAGTAAAGCAAGCGTAAGGACATTATGCCTGAATTCTGGAGCATTCAGATGGATATTGGTGTATTTATTAGGGAAAGAAAAGGTTGGACTGCATGGTTGTTGCCAGAGCTCTGGCAAGAATATCATGGAAGAGAGGTATCCTCATGACAGAAAAACACCATATGGCAGCAATTCTAAGTATAGAATTGGGTCTGATGGCAACAAGTATACATGGCATCCCTCAAAATGTCTCACTGCTGTCTTTCTGCAGATTGAAGAAGGGGCACACCCTACCTGAGCCAAAAAAAATCCCTACAGGCAGAGTATTACCACAGCTATCTATGTCAATTCCCCAGGAGAGAATGTGTGCAGCAGTTTTTGTTATGTTGATATGAAAGCAGCAAGAAGGATGTGAAGAGAAAGCCGAACAGCTAGGTTCATGTGGATTGTAGCTAATGGTGTGATATGGGTTAGTCCCTTGGGGTACTTTCTTGTAGCCACTTCTGTCTTGTCCAGTACATTCATCAAATTAAATCCTCATTCTTGTTATGTTTGGTATAATTTCCATATGAAGAAAAAGAAGTCTTGCTCTCAGAATGAGGAAGTGATGGTGCTGAGCACAGTAAAGGCACTGCAGAGAGCACAGCACGAGTGAACCCTGATCTTCAGGAGCTCTGCTAGGATGGGACCACAAACTGGGATTTTAAACGTTCCTTTTACTGAAGTTATCTTGTATGATTTTTGGAACTGATTCGTTGACAAGGAAAGTGACAATTTTCAGGCAAACATGATAGTCCAAGTGAACACCTGGTGTCTGTCTAGTCATTTACACAGAGAAGTAGGAGGTAAAATTGCACCAGTTACTTTCTTCATGCTAAATTATCTGTAAGACTAAAAGCTCACCTCAGAAATTAATCTTTCATGACTCACTGGAAGCAGAGAGGAAACCCTCCATGAGATACAGGCATGGTTTTTGTCCCGTGCTGTTTGTCTGGGAGCCAGTAGTTCTCAGTTTTCATTCTTGCTAATCCATTGGCCTTGAGAAAGTGCTGCAGTGAGTTACAGTGGATGGGGCCTGCTGGAGATGTTTCTTCTAGGTCAGAGAACTCTGCTGGACAGAGGCAGTCACATATTCTAGTAAGCCAGCAATGTGGGGAATGGAAAGCAGCCCTGCATGTGTCCTCTCTCATGTGGCTGTCATTTGACAGAGATCCCTGTTTCCCCTTCTCCCTGCCTGGTTGATAGGTCACCAGCATTCAGTGAAAGAAATGACTAAGGGCTTCTTCACCCAGCTACTGCCATACTGTCCCTTTTTCCACACAGAAACACACCCAGTATATGTAGTTCAGAATAAAGCATCATATGTACTGTTTTTACTGCTATATATGCCACATACATTATATATCTTCTGCATAATAAATAGCTATCTGTTTGCTGATACCAGCAAATAGATAGCTACAGTGCTTTGTAGAAAGCACTGGTTATGCAGTTTATAATAAAGGTTGCTTGAAACATAAATCATACTTATAAACTCATTATAAATTGCTTATAATACTGAATGTTCAACCAGTGTATACTGGTTTGCCATGCTGTATTTTTTTTTCTTACTTTGGCTAAATTTTGTTGCTGTAAAATGGCTTATCTATCAAGAGAACAAGACTGGGGACAAAAACATTAGTTCAGCCACATTAAAGTATTTCTGTTGGGAAAGCTGCTTTCCCCTGCCCTTCTTCCTAGCACCCACTTGGCTCAGAATTGTGCTGTCTACAGGTTCCGTGACCGTAACCCTTTTCAGTAGTCTTACTTTGGTGTTATGCCAGTTCTCCTGAATTCAGAGGCAGATTTTTACACATAAGTTTGCCCAGGGTTGGGTTCTGAGGTAGAAGCTGAGCCTGCAGCAACCTCTATAACTAAAGCCCAGCCATCTACAAGTAATTTTGAACCCAGACTCAGGACCCTGTTGGAATAAGCTGAATTTCAATGATTAGCTTCCAAGGCAATGCAGCAGCAGAGCAGTCTTACTTTGTAGACAGAGTGCCTGTTTTTTCACAAGGAAAGTAGTGCTTTACTGCATATAGCTTTATTATATAGCATCTTCTGACATAACTGCTTAGTATGTTCCCTTTTTGTTTCCCTTTCTGTGAATCACTAAATTTACCTGCTTATCTGAAGTAACTGAAGACATCTACAGATAAAGAAGGGTTGTGAATCATCATTGTCAGTTACTTTTATCTTAAATGGTAACCCATGAGTTTTTAAGTCTCTTAAGCTGCTCAGCATTTTGTAATTTGGTAACATTCAAAGTGATATTTTTTGAAGCTGGTGATTAATGGTTACACAGTAAGCCCCTCCATCCTCACGGCACCTTTGAAAGCATAAAACCTTCATCACTGCCACTACTGGGTTTGTTACAAAAGTCAGATACTGAGCCACCCAAAAACAACTGACTACAACCCACCTACCAGAGAGCATTCAAATCCAATGTCTCTCAGATAGTCCGAGTCCTAAAACTGTTCTTTGAAGATTATAAGATTATTAGACTCATCTTTCTACCATGGCTCTTCCTTCCCTGACACATGCACACACACTCACACCCTCCTCCAGGCTATGACAGACTTGTTAAAGAGAAAGAATTGCACAAGCAGAGCCATTAAAAGGAGAGAGAGATTCAGCTGTCAGCCCAGCATTCATTCCTGGAGCTGACAGCAAGGGTGTCTAAGCTCAACAAAAGGCATAATGTGCTAGAGGTTATCAGCAAATGGAATAAAAGCCTTTAAAGTTCTACCAGGCACTGTTTGCAGTGGGGTGCCCTTTGAAAAGCCACTCACTTTTGGATCCACCTGCTCGGTTTGTGTGTGAATCCTTTTCTGGGCACACAGAGTTTCTAACCCAGAGCCCCGCTGGCAGCTGCCCATCAAAGGCAGCTCTGATACAGCTGATGGAGGGGGTGTCTGGCTGTGCTCGGCCGCAGGTCACGCACAGCCACGCGTTTCTGCCAACAGGGAGGTGAAACAGCATGAGGTAACTGGCCACTCTGGGGGTAGCTTCAAAAGCAGCAAAGATGTTGGCAGTCTTCAGTGGATCCAGATCATCAAAGGAATGAGGAGCTCTCCTGGTACAATGACTGTGTAGACTAAAGGATCTTTCATCTGGTGCTCAGACTTTTACAAATCCTAAAGAATCATAGCACATCATGAGCTCTGCTGTGTGCCATTCCTTTTTTACAGCTCTGTCTCACATACACAACCTCCCTCCCCTCAGCTGAACCCCCTTCATTGCACTGAAACTGAAATGTGTAGGTCTAAAATGCTAAAGGTCCAGAGCGCTGTTGCTTCCTTACCAAGACCATAGCATACAGTAAGGAGTAGGATGAGAGGCTCATTTTCACTTAACCAAAAATTGTATTAACTAGGTTTGTTAGAGATTATCAGATAAAAATCCAACATAGCTGATGATATATTCCCTCTTCCCTCCCACTGTGGCCTTTTAATATATTGTAAACTGCTGAGAAATTGTTTTTAAATGTCTTTGGTGGCTTAAGGTAGAGACTTGTGGTACCTCTGCTTCACACAGCCTTACATTAAAACGGCAGGGGATGATTCAGATCATCAGAGGAGGTTTTGTTTTCTGGTTTCTGGGATTTGGAAACTTGCTTTCAGGAATTTGCATTGCTGCTGTTACCAGTGGTATTATCAGTAGACTGTACAGTAGAGTAGGTGAGCCTCAAGGAGGTAAGCAGTGGAAAGGATTATTTGGATTCTGTGAAAACGTAGCCAAGATGATACATCCCAAGTGCACGGTCATCTCTCTTGACCTGCTGTTCTTGAGCAGGGGCCACAGTGCTGCAGTGCTCACTGGGTCCCTGGGTGACCTCGCTGACACTCACTGTTGTCTTTTCTTTGTGCAGGACGGAGGATGCAACTGCCCAGGAGATGTCGCCAAAGCGTTTGGTAAGAGCTGTGTGTTATGACACCCCCACGTGTCTCCAGTGCCCCTGGAAGGCAGGAATGCAGGAATCGGTGTGACCCTGAATGTGTAATCAATTAGCAGGAGGTTAAGTTAGTCCCTGCAGCTGACTCTAGTGAAATTAATGCACGAGGCATGAATTTGCTCTTTGGAACAGATAGTCCAAATTCTGCAGTGCAAAACATAGAGTGGTCAAAGCGATATTTAGAAATTATCAGCCAGGTGTGTATGAGATACACCTGCTGTGAGAGTACAAAGAAAACTCATAAGAGTTTCTTCTGAGTAGGGTTAAGAGATGCCTGTAACGTTGCCAGATCTGGCTGATTTGAGCCCTGAGTGGAAGAAGAGCAAAACAAAAAGGCAGGCCAGATCCCTGGAGATGTTCTTGGGATCAACTGTCTACTTGAAGAGATGAGATTTTTTTTATACTGTATCCCCTAGAGCTAGGCAGATGTCTGAAACATCTAAGTTAATAATTAACAGATTTTGCTTTCATGTAAGTTCAGTGAATTGCGCCAGCTCTTGATGAGAATAGAATAGAGGATTTAACCTGTGGGTATGGTCTGTTGGGCATGAGAGTCTGTTGGTATGGGGGGGTCAAAATCATCTTTGTCACTTAGCCATAACCTTGTTCAGCAGCATATGGGATGCAGGCACTAAATGCATCTTGAGGTGACAAGGCATTTAAAGGTACTCTCCCACCTTCCAAAAGGCCAGACTCTTTGGAGGTGTCAAGTAGGGTAATGCCTGGAATACAGTGGGACAGCAGAGTCTCTCATGGGATTTCAGGGTGGTATGAAAACAAGACATAGCACATTATGATGCAGGAAGCTTTGCAAATATGGAAAGTAGAGGCAGGCCTAAACTCAGATTGCAGACTTGCCGAGAAAAACTCTAGGCCTGGAACTCAACTCCTGGAAAGGCTGAAACCAAAATCTGTCTTCTAAGTTTGCAGACAGCTCCAGTTTTGAGACAGATCACATCACAAGGAAGACTTAATTAGAGAATTCTAAGGACTGCTGTGGAATGATTGCTACCAGCAAGGAATGTGCTTGGTCATAGGATTTCATATAACCCTTGTGTTACCCAGTGGTGATGGGATGCAGATACTTCAGTTGGGTGATTCCAACATAGCTGAGCAGCAGCATCCACCCTCTTAGACAGGATTGTGTTAAAAAAATGCCCAACCTCTCCTCAGCCCTCACTCTGACATGGTGCCTGCAGTGAGGTCTTTATTCTGCCTTTCTCTGGCTTCACAGCTCACCAGGTTCTTACTGGCGGTGTGGTCCTTGGGAGCTTGTGAACTGAAACTGTGACTTCACTGTATTCCCAGCTGTCTGCATAGAAACCTGGCCTGTGGGAAAGGTCTTTCTTCAGCAAGAGCATTTCCAGAAGCTAGAACAACAGGGAGCAACTTCACAGTGTTTGAAATGTTTTTCTTTGTAGTGTTTATTACAAATCTAAAAGATCCCTGTAGTCTCTTTGGACTAACTGAACTTGAACCTGCTTGAAACCTCTGAAGAGACAGTTTTTGGCTTTGCTGCTCATCAAGAGGTGCTGGGATTCCCAGTGGTACATGTCTGAAGGCTGCCACAGGATTATCCCTTGGACAGAGGAGCATCAGAAAGCTGACATTTTCCAGGCAGTAGTTGTACTCTTGATAGTAACCTAGACAGATCAGTGTGACTGTGTGTGACAGCTACAGAGCTGGAAATGATGGAGATGACCCTGAGGCAATAAACTTACTGTATCTGGTTATGTACACTTGACACAGACACATTGTGAACATCTGACAAGCTGGACCCAGATGTGACTTTGTCAAAGGTATGTGGCAAAATAAGCTTTGAGATAGCATTATTACTATCAGTGTTTATTGAATGCTACTGAAGTGATTGGCTATCTGAACCTCTTAGAGCGCAGCCACCATGCCCAACATTTACAAGTCAAAGCCTTGATACTGAATTGTCCAGCACAGACCTCTGTGCTTGAGTTACATGAATATATTGGATAGCAAAGACCAGGTGATAGAACACCCAGACCTACAATTTCATCTAGGGATGAAGGCCTGAACAAAGCATGGTGAATAGACAAGAAGGGGACTTTGGTTAAAGTAATTGTGCTCTCTCTTTCTGGTGGATCACTGTAAAATCTTCATGGGATGGGATGATTCCCTATAAAGGAGTGACAGAGCATGTATTTGAATTATGGGAAGTATGAGGGAATCACAGATGTGAAGACAAGCACTGGAAAATGGCTAAAGGTGTGACTGGAGGAGCCAAGTTCATGGAAACAGAAGGAGTAGATTGGATTAAGTGAGAGAATTGTGAAGAACCAAGAAACAGATGTTGAGAAGCTTTAAGGTGCACCTGTGACTTGGTGCCAGGACTCAGAGGCAGATTGGGCATTTTGACAGGGGAGACAAGGTAGAAGCCTATTTAAAACTGCCAGGAACTGGGAAGCACTGAAGATGATGAAGAGAAATGCTGGGAGAAACATACTTTGGGAGAGACTGCTGGAGTTCTGGAGCTGTTGGATGGGAACCTGCTATGCATTTGGTAAACTGAATGAAATAGATGTAGGTTGATAGGAAAGGAAAGCTGTTTTGATGCAGGAATGAGAGAAAGCATTAAAGAAATTTATGCTGGGCTCTCAGATGGCTCATACAACTGAACCCTTGGAAAGGCTGATAACATGAGCACATTTCTCAGAATGCTCCAGGGAGGCACTACTGTCTCCTTTTTTAATGATGAGAAGTCAGAGCATAGAAATACTAAGTTCAATTGCCTGAGGTCACATATATTTTTCTGACACAGCCAAGAAAGAATGTGCCTTTTGAATCCTATGCCAGCATCTTTAACACATTGCTGCTGTTCCTTACAGCAGTGGTGAGAAGAGATGCAGGAGCAGGGAAGGAAAAAGAAGGAAAAATCATATGGAAAAGTCAACTGGGGACATAGGCTGGTTCCAGATCATACTGGATCACACTGGTTTTTTCTCCTGTTTTCAACAGCTGTGTGTGTACCTACTGCTGCAAAGGCTTCCTGGCTCAGCTGGAGCACAGGTGAATGTTAATTCCAGGTTAAGCTCTGGTCCAGGCAAACTGAGGCTGGATCTGCCTGGAGGGCTGCCCAGCTCACAAATCCAGGCCGACTCCAGCTGAATTTGTGCAGAGCCAATCTGGTTATCAGTGACTTGTATAATCAGGCATACAAAAGACATCTGAGGGACTCTATCCAGATCCAGCAGAACTGTGTGAGTGCTGCAAGCTCAGGCTGGCGTCAGCACTGCTATTCTGTAATGGCTTGAAAGAGAAGGCACTGTGAAATGTGAATGAGCAAAATCAGCCCAGATTCAGCATGGGCCTCAAGGGGAAAGTCAGTGCACGAAAGTGGCATTGTTTAAAACCAGGACGAGTCTGGCCAGCTCTGACTGAGCTGCTGGGATGCTTGTGTGCAACATACCCCATCACATCCTGGGTTATCTAGGCAACAACCAGGTGTTTCCAGTTCTCTACAACCTAAAATAATGGCATGCTGTCGATCTGTACTTGAAAACAAAAGACTGCAGATGGATGTTGTGAACATCACCGGTGCTTCTGGTGGTTATACAAGAAAAATATGCGTAAGTTAAAGACCATGCTAAAAGCTGCAACCTCCTGGTAGGATATTAACTGATGGAAACATAATGGAACAGGCTTGAAACTTTCAGATATGTTTGCAACACTGAAGCACAGTAGAAGGTTCTGGAGAACATTGGAGAAGTATATTTAATATGGGCTTGTCATTTCTGGAGCAGCAGGGCTGCAAGCATGTGTCGATTCAATGTTTAGACGTGCTGCATCTGCTGTAACATAGCTCCTCTCTTCTGGAATAGCTTGATGAATTATGTTGTAGTTTGCAAAAGTTACTCATGTTGGATGAGTTTCAATCCTGTAATTCAAACATATTTGCTTCCCTCCCAAAAATATGCAGCCAAAAGAAAAATAATAAATAGATACAGAAGTGCACAGGATCCAAAATTCTGTGACTTTGAAGTGTTGTTTTCATGTGCCTTTTGCATTATTAATTTGAAGGCTGTAAGACCCACAACCAAAAATGGCACTAGAATTGGGGATCAGGAGATACTATTGACATGGCAGAACCCAGAATGTCTTTTGGCCGGCTTTTGACTTGTTAAAACGCACTCTTTGCAGCCTTGACCTCAAATCTGTCCCTCCTTCCTCATGTTTTCTTCCACCCACGAAGAAGACATTAGCTAGGTTTCCCAGGGTACTTGTTTTTTGAAAGATGGAACAAGGTTGTGCTAGGTAGCAACAGGAATTTGCCACCAGTAATTAAAATATGAGTATTCCCTTTGTTTTTGGCAGGTTTTGGCAGGCATGAGTCAAACCGAGACTTTAAAACTCAGCCATCTGAAACAAGAAAGCTCAGGAGAAATCTGCCAGGCAGCTGACATGATAGGATACCTGAATGAGTGCCTGGCTATAAATATTGCTTGTGATGTGCTTTGCATAAGCTTCATTTTTAGTATCCCTTTACCATGGACACAGTGTTCCTTTCAAGCAGGCACCAGGCAAAGGGAGGTGAGGTCAGCAGAGCAGCTGGGTGCTCTGCCCCCAGGTACTGCTGCCAGCTCTGCTCTTTGGCAAAGGGGTGGAGGGAGGAACTGGCACACTTCACTCTTGTCATGTGTTCTAAGATCAAAATATTCTCAACTTAGGTTTGGTAGAAGCTGAGCAGATGCGATAGGGATTTCACTTACTTTTCAGATTTCAAGGTCTGGTGTTATTGTTGGGACAGTGACAGAGATCAGAGCAAATCCTAATGCCAGACTTACCTAGTCTGGGGTCTCCCCAGACTTCAGATTTGTTCTTAGGAGGATGTATGTAGTTCAAGCTCATGTGCTTTCTGTGAAGTGTGGTTTATAGCTCAGTTCTTCTGTCAGTTCTGGGAAGAAGCTGAGCAGAGGAGAGGCCTGTTCTGGCACATACACATTGAAGAAGCAGAGAGTATGAACAGGAAAATGCTTTGTTTCAGGGTTGGGTCATCACAGGCTCATAAAAGAGCCAAACTTTTCCAAGCACTCCTAGATATGCCAAAATATCACAGGAGGAGCTGCTGGTGGAATAGTTCCAGCCCAGCTGGAAATACTGGAGATCACAGTAGAAAATTAAGAATGATTCCAAAAACCTTCTTCCTGATCTTACTCCCAGCAGAGCTGATTTCATGATTTACAAAGCCAGAGGAGATAAACAGACTGAACAGTGATGATTGAGTATTCAGTGTTGCTATTCAGTATCTGGAACATATTTAGGAGTAGTAGCAATGGGCTAGACTTCTTTGTGGTGTGTGCTGAGAACCATAGAACCCAGGAGTGATGGTCCTTGGACCAGAATTTTTAAACAGGAAGCAAATGAGATGCATCCAGATCTCTTTGGCTAGGAATCATCCAGAACAACACTGAACACAGATGAGTGATGGACTTGAAAAATCATTATTTCAGTTAAAAATCTGAATCAATCATTTTATGTCATTGCTGGGAAGATTACATTACATCCATGCTTTCCTTCAGGGTACATTCCCGCTCTCCACTTGTGGCCTAGAAGACTCTTGAAGTAGGAACCATCCACTTCTGTGTACAGCATTGAGCTGTACAGAGTTAACAGGACTGCTGATTGCTGCAGTCACAGTTAATAAGGAATTGTGCTCAGATACTATTATGAAGAGTTGAAACTGAATTTGAAAATAAAAGGCGTTGGGATAGAGTAGAATAATCTCTATCTTTGTCATTGTAACAGAAAAGGGTTTTTTTCCATTTAAAGTACCAGAGAAATACAATTCAGCCTGTGTCAGTTCTAAAGTAAAGCTTTTCATCCAAGTTTGCTGTGACAAGAGGGGACTCCGTACTAAACTGTAAAATGCTGGCTATTGTTTCCAGAGATCACTGTGCTCTTGCTTTGGCTTTCACCTTCTCCTTTCCCTGCTTTTTTACGTGTCCTTTTGCTGATCACAGGAGCTGGTGCTGACTTCGTCATGATTGGAGGAATGTTTGCAGGCCATGACCAGAGTGCTGGAGAAATTCTAGAAAGGAACGGGAAGAAGGTGAAACTATTCTATGGAATGAGCTCTGATACAGCCATGAAGAAGCATGCAGGAGGGGTTGCTGAATACAGGTATGAATTCCACACGGCAGCAATTGCAGTGAGCCCTCCATCCAGGAACTTTTGGAGCAGAATTGGGCAGAAGGAAACAGGCCTATGCTGCTGCTCCCATTGAAGCAGCTGTTGCCTATCTGATCTGAGGGAGGGATGACATCAGAGGGAGACAGGGAGAAAGAGCTGGGGTTGGCTGGCTGAGAGCAGTGATGTTCTCTTGTTTGCAGCTGGTATGGTGTGCTGTCACTGCTGCACCAGTTGTGTGGTCTGGGAAGTCATTAGGCACTCTTCTGACTTACTGCTCCTTCAGGATGTGTATGAACTAAATGCTGGAACATGACGTAGCAGGCTGCAGTTTCTGTCCGTCTGCTTGTCCACATTGGGTGTCTTCTTGGTGTAGGGATTCCCAGCTAGCCCACAGGCTCCCTTCTGCTTGCAGAAGGTGGGTGCTGGTGAGCTGGTGAAGCTCAGCTGGGGTTTCCCCAGTACAGAGATGAGGACCAGGACTGCCAAAGCACTCAGACATCAGCAGCAGCTCTGGGACTCCCTTCTGTATTTTTGGGGCAGTCTTCATAGGCAGCAGAAGCCTATGTACAGTTTTTCCAGCCCTCTTTTGGTAACAGAGCACCAGAGTAGCCTCAAATAATGCAGAATGCAGAAGCTTCATTTTTGAGCTAACTCCTCAGGGGAGAGGTAAGGAAGACAGATTTTTCAAAAAAATCTGTTGTCCATTACTGTTTTACTCTGGAAAGTGCTGACAATGTTGACTTCTTGGAAAAGCAGATAACATCAGAAAACCTCTGTGTCTTTTCTCTTCTGAGTAGCAGTCTCGGTCACTGCCCTTGGACAACATGGTTCTTACATACTTCATTGGAGAATGACTCCTGTCTTTCAGTAAACACTGGTTTATTGAGGGGTCTCTTTTGATTCTTCTTTGCTGGCATAGATTCAGGCTCTGGTCCCATCTGGTAAATTGCTGTTTGCAGGAGTCTCAGTACACCTGCACTTCCAGCCACACACTGGGGATTGATGGGTTTGTTGGCCTCATCTGCTACAACCACTCCAGGATACAAGTTTTTCCCAACATGTCCTGCTGCTACCATGGGTAAGAGTTTCAGATCTGTGAAAGTGACAGCACAGAATATAAAGCAGAATGGGATCCACAAAATGAAATGGAATTCATGCTTTGACACAGAGATAAGCTGATAGATAGCAATCCCAGATGTCATGCTAGATAGAAGGATCTTTGATCCCACCTCCTGTTCTCCACCCCAGCATTGACTCCTGTGGTGGTTTTCCTCTGCACCATAAAATTGTGTATTTGTTCACATAGCACTTAGTGGAGTGCAAAGTGGTAAAACTTAACCTCTGTCAGAGCATTTACAACCTAGATTGTGGCCTAGTTCGTGGCATCACAGAATCATTTGGGTTGGAAGGGACCTTTAAGGTTCATCTAGTCCAACATCCCCATAATGAGCAGGGGCATCTTCAACTAGATGAGTTTGCTCAGAATGCTGTCCCCAGCTTGGCCTAGAGTATTTCCAGGCATGGGACATCCACCAGCTCTCTGAGCAACCCATTCAGTGTTTTTGCTTTCAAACACAACTGGTTTTTTGCAGAAGAAAGAGCTGCATGAGATGCCATCTGCATCTGAGACAAGCTGAAATGATACACCCGACAGATGTTGCATATCTCTGAGTTTTGATTCACTTTGGGTTCATATGCCACTGCCCAGAAGCAGTGCACAGTCTGGGAGCTCTTTTTTCTTTTTTTGTGCTCTAGCAAGTCTACTTGTCAGCAAAGCCTCAGAACAAATGGTCTGAAGTGGACAGCACTAATAAGTGTCTCTTAGGATGGAAGTGGCAGCTGCCAGTTGCACAGTTGTGCTGGCAGCCTTTACCTGAATGATCATTTCCTGTCCTGTGCTACCCTGAGCTTGAGTCAGCTGGAGTGTGGGAAAGGCCTGATGCTGCTCAGGCCTGTGGTTAATGGCATTTCCCTGAGAGCCATCTCACTGAGCAGCCCAAGCGTGCTGCCAGATCTCAGTGCAGCACAGTCCTTAGGGACTGGCCTCCACAGAGCTGGTGAAAGATGCAGGAAGAGTTTGAGAAGGATGGCTGTACCAAGAGGACAAAGGACTAAGGCAGCTCTTAAATTCTGTTCTACCTAATTAGGTGTGTGTGATCTGGCAACAAAATTTATTGCCAGCAGGAGAACTAATTGACACTGGTCCCTCTTAAAAATGAGATAAAGTGCAAGTATCCCATCTTGTAGGAGCAAAGGTTATACAGAAAGGTGCTGTGTTTGGCTCAGTCTAGACAGACCTTTTAAAGTCATTATGTGCAATGCTATACAAATTTGGCTTGATCCAAAGCTGTATTTTGATTTGCATCCTTGATTTGAGAATTTCCTGGGGACCAGGTTCTGAGACTTTCTCAGCAGCAAGGCAGCAGGAGCACAATCTGAAACTTTTAGTCTCTGTTGAAATACTACCTTTCTGTGCCACTAATAGGTAGCATAGGAGGAGTCTCCGAGTGTACTGCTAGATACAACAGCTCCAGACACTAAATCTGTGAGCCTTGGGTCTTTACTGGGGAAGTGCTGATACTCATCTTCACTCTGCAGCCATGACACTGACCTGGCTGCCTGTACCAGCCTTGGGCTCAGTCTTCCTTGGCCTGTCCCAGCATGAGTGTCACTGTGGTTTAAAAATAGCAGCGGCTAAATCCAGCATTGTAAATGTGTTGGGCATTGAAGGGGGATTTGAAACAGCACAAGGTTGCCCTTATAGTAAAAGTTACAGGAAGTTTAATCACTTCCTAGTTTAGCTGATGGCAAGCTTGAACCAAAAGGGTTCTTAGTCAGCATTTTAAATGCTGGATACCCCAAACTTGACCCAAACAGGTCAAGTCAGTGGGGCTCCTTTATATGCATTTAAAAAGCCCAGCTGTAAGTCTGTATTGGTGACCCAAATAAGCTGTTTTGTCTTTAAAAGAGCCTGGACACTCACAGTGTGTTATTGGAGCAGTGGGGAGCTCAGTGTGCTCAGTCCCCTGCAGAATCAGACTGCTTGTCATTTAACTTCATCTTCTCAAAATTCCACATGTTGGCTGGAGAACCTGAGCCTGCAGCAGCTACATTAAAACTGACAGATAGGGTGAGATGGCTGTGGCAGGGAATAAAAGTCATGAGAGTAATTGTTTTTGTAATGAATATGTCAAGCTGATCCCATTTAATCTGTGTACTTGCTTTCATTTATCTTATGTCATTTATATATTGGCTTATTTTTACATTTTCACCTCCTTCCATGAGGAATATGGATCAGAGCTGGGGATTTCTGAAAGGCAATTTTTGTGTTTCTTTTGTGGGAGAAGAGAAATAAGGCAAGCAGGGTCTGAGGATGCATGCAGTATTATTCAGTTCGAGTCAATTTGGTTTTGTTAACCCTTTTGAAATTTCACAGGTTTTGTGTGAATGCTGCAGTTCTGTTGTGGCCACTCAGCAATTCACAGCTGCTGTTAAGCTGGGTGTGGGCACTTTATATTAACTGCAGGGTGAAATTTTGGCCACAGAGACAGAATAGCACCAACTGCCAGCTGCTGCTTACCATCTTGTGTATCCCAAATGATAGCCTGGAAGACCTGCCCCCAGTTCCTATTTCTTATATGCCCCACTCAAAAGATTGCTTCATGCCAGGGCAGCCTGACCCCTTTAATCTGACCCACATTTTGCTGGGCTGACAGAGCACCATCTCATGTGTTTCATCCCATGCAGCCTGCCAGGATTCCCATCCACCACACACATCCCTCCATGCAGCAGCCTTCAGCTGGCCAGGAGGGGCACCACAGACTGGGCCCTGTGCAAAAAGTCTGAAGCAAATAGTTTTCTCTTTCTGTTCAGTGGCTGGCAAGAGTCAGAGTTACTGCTGAGAGCATCTGAGCACACCTTTCCCAGCCGCTGGGAGCCTCAATTGCTCTGTCATCACCTTTCTTTCTGAGAAGGGGTTACTTTTGGGTCATAGCTCCAGGAGAGATGTCAGAGCAGCAAAACCCTCAGCAGCTCCTGCTGACTTGCTTATGCAGCTCTCTGCCAAGTGTGCCAGCTTTTGTGACAGCCCGTGTAATCCATTGTCATGGTTTATCCCAGCAGGCAGTAAACACCACGCAGGCACTCGCTCACTCCACCCCCCAGTGTGATGGGAGACAGAATTGGGAAAAACCAGCAAAATTCATGGCTTGAGATAAAGACAATTTAGTAGGACAGAAAGGGAAGGAATAATAACAACAGCAATAATAATATACAAAACAAGTTATAGAGAGTTTTTCACCACTCACCAACCAATGCCCAGCCAGTTCCTGGGCAGTGGCCCCAGCCAGCTTTCCCCCCTAGTTTATATACTGAGCCTATTGCCATATGGTATGGAGTGTCCCTTTGGTCAGTTTGGGTCAGCTGTCCTGGCTGTGTCCTGTCACAACTTCTTGTGCCCCCCAGCCTACTTGCTGGTGGGGTGGTGTGAGGAAGAGGAAAGTCCTTGACTTGCAGCAACCACAGCTTGGCAGTAACTAAAGCATTGGTGTGTTGCCAACACTGAGGGCTGTCCAGGGGACACAGTTCCTTTACAGCTCTCCCTTTTCTAGCATGAGTCACACAGGGACTGCACTCCCTTTGGGAGTGCACTGCACGTCTCCTCAGGTGTGTCCAGGTGTGTCTCCTCTCCCAGTGGCCATTGCTGTTTCATAAGTACACTTGAGGAGAGGTGTCACGTGCTCCTCTGACCTGCTGAAAGTTTGGTGGCTCACACCATTTTTGGAGCCAGGTGGAACATCTCTGGAATGATGCAGGCCGTGGCCTTATCCCACACAGGTCACACTGGCCCCCCATGTCACCTGAACCCTGCTGTGTTTGCCCAGCACAGCACCCATATGGCTGCTGGTGGGAGTCAGCTGGGTGCTCATCACGTTGGGCACTCATGAATGTACTAACAGGGTGTTTGGACATAAATAATTTGGGCATGCATGCATGAACTGATTGGATGCTTATGCAGAAATGACTGGCTATTCATGCATGAATTAATTAGGCACTCGTGCATTAATTTATTCAGTGCTCATGCATGAACTAATCTGGCACTCACACAAGAGCACAGCAAGCCCAGTAATTCATGGCCTATACGTCACTCCTTGGGAAAGCATACATTGGGGAGCCCTTAGAAGGTTAGTCCAATATGAACTCTTTGGACATCATCACAGTCTTAACATACATAATTTAAAAACTCCATTTTTCCTCCCTATGGACCAGCCACCAGGGATTGATACTGTAGCAGTTCACTTACTAAATGTCTCTCCTCCATCCTGAGTACTGTGTTAAAGGGGTTAACATTTGGTTTTATAGCCCTATGGATACAGATCCCACCCCTGGGCCAGACTACAGCAATTAATAGTGCACCAGTGTGTGCATACATGTAGTGAAATTCCACCCACGCTTCCCAGGGAACCAGATGACTTCTCAGCTCAGTCTGAGCAACATGTTATCTCTTAAAAACCCCTTTCCTCTGGGGACAAGACTATTGGGGTTAATGTTAGCACAGCTTGAGTATATATTCATCAGAAACGTCATCCCCTTATCTCTGTGGACAAGGCTGTGGAGCTAATCTCACACCTCTCTTCTAGTGTGTTTTACCCAGTATGGTATCTACAGGTTACTCCTTGATCAACAGGACATCCCACCAGCTGACTCTGGAGGAGCAATAGCGAGTGTTTAGCTGTCAGAGCTTTGGGGCTGTGTTGTCAGGTGTTCACCACTTCTGTAGATCTTGGTCTCCAAAGCCTTAAGTAGCAACCCACAGGCTTCAGCTTCCTGACACCATTGTAGCCACTGCAGGGATCTCTCCCAGGGGCAGTGGCTGTAACCATCACCCATTTCTGTATTTTTTCACTGAAAAAAGGACCACCAAGCACTCATGTTCATAGGAGCAATGTGCAGCTTATGAACCACAGGATGCTTAAGCATGAATTAACGGGGAATTTACATTTACTGATGGTGCATTCATGGATCAGCTAATTGACCTCTCATGCATGAACTGAATGGGCAGCCATGCACGAATGCAGTAAACCCTGCACTCCTTGCACAGAACAGCATGCAGGGCTCTTCAGGTGGCAGGACATGGTAGAATTTGCACTGGTTTCTGCAAATCCCAGACATGGCACTGTCTCTCACAATCTTGCAGGAAGCTCCCTGGAGCCTGAGATCAACCTCCCAGCTTTGACTGGAAGAGATGGGCATGGCCAAAAGCAGGAACAGTGGCATGAGTGTTGTTTCAGCCTTTTCCTTCTGGCACTGGAGCTGAAACTAAAAGCCTGGGAACTCCCAGCAGCAGAGGCCATACAACAGACCCCTAAGCCCTGTGCAGTCTGCAAGATGCCAGTGGCACATCCATCTTCCACTGGCCACTGCAGTGCTTATTTAAGAGTTTCAAGAAAGAGTCAATTACTCATCAGATGTAGGGAGATTAATCATGGCTCCTTACTCACATGGCATATCCACACTTTGCCTTTATTGTCTCCCTAGGGCTGTGACCTCACATTTAGACTAACAGGATGAAATATAGGCAGGCTCACACTGAAGTACCTCCACATAGCAGCTGTTGCTGTTGTTAATGATTCACAAATGGAGCCTACAAACAGGCATGCCCTTTCTTGTACTATCCCCTGGAAACTTTTAAGGAAGAAGCAAATAAAGCCACATTTAGAATAATGACAGACTGCTGCCATGACTTCTGTCTCCATTTTGTAGGGCAGAAGGAAAGCGTCTCCTCATCTGTCTTAGACCCTCCCTTCCCAAGGCTTCCCTTCCCAGAAGAACCAGTGTGCCAGGCAGAACAAGCTTACTCTAAAGTGTAGTGGGATCAGCTGCTGATGCCACTGATCAGCTCACAAAGAGCCTCTGCTACAGGAGGGATTGCTGAACATGGGGCTGGAGAAAGCTGCAGGAGGAGTGGAAGTTATTTGCCTGGATTCTTCCATTGTGTAACTCTTTCAGATGTGCTTTTTGGGAACAGTGTAGTCCGTGCTGGCATGCACCAGCACTTGACAGTATTCACAGCATTGGTGTTTTTCTGGCCTTTTTGCCTGGCACTGAACTGTGCTAGATCACCTTTCAGCTTCAAGGGACAGCTGTGCAGCAGGTTTCTGTAACAGGTTTCCTGCTCTCTCTCTCTGTGAGCTCTGGAGAATCACACTAGTAGGAGACAGCCAGAGCACTTCCATCTGTGGCTGATCAGTAACATGGGACAGAGCCCAAGGGCCAGGAAGCCTCTGTTGAGCTGTGCTGGGTGGTGCCTGCTGAGAACCAGCTCCAGCATTTCTCTGTTTGAGTCTGGCCGTTCCTTACACTTTAAGGTTGCAGCTGTCACAGTCAAATTTACTTTTCAATAAAGCTGGAAGTTCCACTTGCTTGTAGGCAGATGGTAGAGGGGAGGAAGGGGCAGATCTGTAAATAAACTCATGGGATATTGAAGCATCTACAAGATCTGTCTGCTTCTACTTCTCAGTGTTGGTGGTGAGTGGAGCTGAGGCATTTCAGTGCTTGAGAGCCCCAAGCAGTAAACCTGGGGGCACGTTTGTAAACTGCAGCCTGCACAGTTCAGTGCCACAATTCTCCATTAAACACACTCATATTTTGCATCCATATGAATGCAGTGACTGATCTCTTCTCCAGGGCTTCAGAGGGCAAGACTGTGGAGGTGCCATACAAAGGGGATGTGGAACACACCATCCTGGACATCCTTGGGGGGCTGCGCTCCACCTGCACCTACGTGGGAGCTGCCAAACTCAAGGAACTGAGCAAGAGGACGACGTTTATCCGGGTCACCCAGCAGCACAACGAGGTCTTCTCCTAGCCTAGGCCTGGGGGGCTGGAGAGGGGGCTGGGGAAGAAGAGCAGGAAGGGCTGCTCTCTTCCTTTGCTTTCTCCTCCATGTTGTGTTAGTGGCAAACTTCCCTCTCTCTCTCAGAACGGCAGTGTCATAGCTATTGGCTATGGCTGGGATTTGGAAGGGGAAGGTCATGCTATTAACACAATGCCATTGATTCAAAATGCAATTGCCTCATCTTTTATCATTGTGCCTATTTTATTTTTTAGTCATTTCTTCACCTGTTTTTTTGCCCCTCTGATAAATAGCTGCTGAAACCTCAGTTAACAAGGAATTGGCTTGTACAGACATGGCTGTTAACGCCTGCACACATTCACACATTCTCTTTTCTAAGACTGACCTGTCAGCTACCACCACTTTCTGGCAGTGCACCTTTCAGAAATTGCAGGCTGGGAGAGAAAAAGATGCAAGGAATTGCATGGAGGAAAAAAACCCCAAATTCTCTTAATCTTTTTTCTGGCTAAAGAACAGATGATATGGCACAGCTGCCAGAGGTGGATGGTAGATGAGGCCTGGTTGCTGGTGAGATGTGATGCTAAAAACACCAGATCTCTGTCACTTTCAGTTCACAGGGCTGATGTTGCTGTTCTTTCTTAAACCTCCCTGTTCAATGGACTTGCCCCTTCAGAGAAGCGGGCACTGAATGTAGCTAAACCTTGCTGGCCCCCCTGCCCCCGTCTGAGGAGATCATTCAGGTGACCACTTTTCAGAGCTTGCCTGCCTTATCATAAGTGCAGTTATTGAATTAGCTGGGTTCCTGCTTTTACCTTCTCTCTGGGAACAGGTTTTTAAGATATTGAAACTCAGCAACTGTAAGCCTGACATGGGGGGACGATTCTTTGTAGCCCTCCCTGTTCCCTTGCCCGCTCACATCCATTTAGCAAAGATGTAAAAACACTGTGCAGTGCATTGTCTGTGGCCAGGTGGAGGAGGCCAGAGGGATCAAATTGCCTTCTGGTTATGTGGTACCACTCCTTTGCAGTCCTTGACATCATGTAAAGCAAGAGAGAGCTTTTGGCAGAGCAGCCTGGTTGATTGCAAGACACTGTCAGGCTTAGATGGAGTTAAAGCATTTGCTCTAAAGGCAGTAGTGAATATTTGAGACTCTGAGTAACACCTCAATAAAGTGTAATGGCCTGATAATTAATTGATAAATCACAATGAAAATTTCTTTGGAAATACACATTGCATCCACATGAATACCACAGTAGCTCGATATGATAAATGATGTAAAAGTGAGCACCAATGAATTAATAATGCTTGGCCACTTACTTTAAACTGCTGCTGAGATCATAATGCATCTGGTGTTACTTCAGTACTTCAGAGTCTTACTTTCCCCTCCTGTAGACATCTGTGGAAAGAGGCAGGCTTCCTTTGAAAAGCAAAAAAGTGATCTGTAGGAAAAGGAATAGCAAAGAGAAACTCTAGAATTAAACTTATACGCTGGACCGCTCAAAAAGCCAATCACAAGGACTGGTACAGTTAACCATGCTGAGAAGCAAATCCAGGCCACAAGCTGATCCCTGGTGATTTTTCAGTGTGTTGTGCACATTAGAAAAAGCAGAGGGTATCTTCTAAATTTCCTGGTATTTAACATGTAGGATGTACTTCTTAATTGTGGGATGACCTCTTCCTCTGCTTTGGAAGAGAACGAGGGCCTTGCTGTGAGCACAGGTTATGCTTGTGCTGGCTGCAAGGACCATTTGTCTTGCCCACATATCATAAAGGAATGTGAATGCAGAAGAGAAGCAGCCCCTGTGAATCCAGGCCCTGATCCCTCCAGTTCCCTCCAGCCTGGAAGCATCATGTTAAGAGAATGCCAGGCTTCTCCACCACAGAAAGGCACCATGGGCCCCCTGCTGCTCTCAGCTGCACTGGGCCCAGAGCAGGGCAGTGTGACCTCTCTCATCAGTGCAGCTGTGGGGCAGCACTGCTCTCTGTTTGTGTGATGTAGAGGGGAAGCAAATGGACACCTCTGTCAGGAGTGGGGTTGGACCACCACAGCCCAGGCCTGACCACAGGTGTGTCTCCACACTGGTGCCTTCACATGTGGGAAGTGCAGCACTCTGCTGGTCTCATGCCCACTCTCACTAGCGCTTTTCTACTTTTTTTAGCTACATTTCTAAGTGGAATTTAAGAAATACATATGCATATAAGAAAATATATATATTTGTAAACATTTTTTTAAAAGATCATGCGCACACCAAACCAAGCAGCTTTATGATGGCCTCAGAACAGTTTCTTTTCCAAAGGGCAGGTGCTGGGGGCAAGGAGAGGCTGCCTCTCTACAAGTGTGGCAAATGGGGCCACTCTTCCACCTCCTTTCCTTCTCCTCCTGCACATAACTCTGATCAGTGACTAATAGGACAGGGACAAGCTATTCTTAAGCTGTCCCAGAATTCTTCAGTCTATGAATGACATTTGATGCCATGAATGGTGATTGATAAAGTTTTGATGTTAGGTATTTGCTTTTCTGAATACCAGGTCTTACCACTGTTTTGATAAGCAACATGTTTTCTTTCATTTTCTCCTCTCCAAAAGTGAGCAGGAGAGAGAAATGAGATGCAGAAAGGCTGAACTGGTGGCATGTCTGCATCTCACCCAGTTGTATGTGAATTTTGTTCAGGAATAACCCTTAGCTATGTCAGTGCTTATCACTGACACTGTATATGTGCAGCTCTGAGACAGGCTGGAAAATACAAAAAGGCACTGGAGTCCCCTTTAACACCTATTCCTGTGCTGCAGCTCTTGCCCTGATCACTTAGCTCCAGGTCCTGTACCTTGCTCAAGCCTGCTGCCACTCCCACAAGGAACGGAGGCAGAGGGAGCCAGGAACACGCTTTGTCTGGCAGGATGGTCCAAGTCAAGACCACAACCTCTGACAAATGCCATGTGCCATTTTTAGATCTACCTCACCTGCACATCTAACTGGGTGTTTTGTTACTTGGTGTCCTTTTGTGGGAAAAGAAATTTTTAAAGTGCTTAATAATGCTTAATGTTGTCATTCTGCATAACCAGGTCTTCTTTAATCCTACACTCCAACCCCATCCTATCCAGAGGAATGCTGTGAGTGCGACAGCCTGTACTGCAGGCCAGGGCCATGCCTGCTTCCCCAGCCAGGCAATTGTTGAGCTCCCAAGAGCAGTGTTGAGGTTCCCACTGGATCCACAGGGGTGCAGTTTAACATACCAAAGACCTACAAGTGGGGATGCTGAAAAGGGCAACATTTTGTCATTAAGCAATCCCTGCTGAGCATGTCTGCCTGTGGCTTCTTGGAACATAAGGACACCTCTAACAGCCCTGGCACTCCCAGTGCTGCTCTGGGGTTGCCTTGCTGCAGCACATTTTGCAGGGTGGGCTCCTGCCCACAGAGCCTGGTTACCAGAACTCTCCTTGGGAGGGGAGGGCTCGGCACAGGAGCGGCCTTGCGCACCCAGTGACTCTGTGGTGGCTGCAAGGAGTGCACTGTGCAAGTGGACACCTCCTTGTAGGTGTGAATAATTGCTAAAGGGGTGGGCTTCAGCCAGCATCCTGACAGATGCAAAACAAGCCACCAAGGTCTCCATTCTCTGGGAGAAATACATTCCCATCTGCTCATTGGAACAGCCAATGGGGCAGGGGCTTTGGCTGTGCTTTGGTGTCACTTTCTTCTCCCTCAGGGCATGGTGGGGTTGAATGTAGGATGGGGACACCCTGTAAATATGGAGAGTTAAAAGGCAGGATCAGAAGAAGCCTCTGTTTGCCTTTGGGGGAGCTTTTCCCATATAAAATGTGCCTGTCTCTTCTTTAAGCTAGTCAGTAGCAGGGGTAGAAAGGATGGGGATAAGGAAGAAATGTGGCAGCTGTTGGCCAAGCCCCACTGTGTTGGGACAGGTGCTTTCAGTCAAGGACATGATGAGAGTTTGAAGCTTTTCTGAACCAAGCACTCCCTACTTTATACCTGTTGAACTCCACTCTTGTGACAGACTTGTTGCTGCAGCTTTCTGCCGCTGTATGTACAGTGTCTATCCATCACCATCTCACATCCCCCACTGGGGGATGGTGCTGTTTAGTTGCTAATACCAGTTTTACACCAAAAATTCTCTTTTGGAGCCAGGAGGGCTTTTGAAGCCAGTGCCAGATTTGGCCTTGTGTGGAAGAGAAGTGGAGGGGGGAAAATGCCAGGGCTCAAGAACAGGGGTTTTCCCTCTGCAGCAGCCAAGGCCAGCAGGTGGGAGAGGGCCAGCCCTTCCCTGCGGGCTGGGAGCTGCCAGGGGCAGCGGGGTTGAAGCGTGTCTTGAGTAGATGCTGGCACAGCTCTACACTCAGGACAGGCCACCCCTTGCAGCCTTAGCTTCATTTGTGGTGATGCTTAATCGAGCCCTCCCCAACATTTATTTGACACACTGTTTGCTGGCCAAAGTTTTCATACATAAATCAGTTTGGAGTCCAGGACTCCGTGGTGTTGCCTGTGATAACTGTGAAGCGCTTCTGTGTCATTGGCCAAAAAGCTGCTGGGCTTTCAGTGTTTTGCTGCCCTGCTCAGCCCTGCTGAGATGGTGATGAGATGCTGTCCCCCTTCCCTCTGCTGTGGCATCCCTGTGTGTGCTGCCCAATCATCCCAACTGCTCCCAAGTTTTTTGTTATGCAATAAAAAGCTTCACCCTGATGGGCTGCAGAGCGTTGTATGGCCATGGGATGGGTGGGTACAGGCTGCCTTTGGGAATTGTCACAAATAAAAGCCAATGCTCTCAAATGCATTGCCAGGGCAGGGCTGGGGGAGGACTGGGCAGGGAATTAAACTGGGCAAATTATGTCCCTAGGAAAGCTCTCTCCCCTTCAGTCATAAAAGACAAAACACACATTTGCAATTGGCACTGTTATTTTATTAGTACGAGTATACTGAAACAATAAACTTGTACTGGTATACAGACAATTTCTTTAAAACAATTTTGTTCAAATTTTGAATCAAACATTGTTTTATTATAATAATGAAATAATTTCTACCTAGAAAACCTGCAAGCACCATCAAAGAAAGGGACCATAAAATTCAATAAACAGACGCGAGTGTATCCTACAAATAGACACACCACCATTAGAAAATAGAATATGAATTCTTCCATTTTTTTTAATATTTGTTTTAAAAAAGCTAGTGCAAGTACAATATTTTACACTGGAATTACAGAGAGTATGCACGCATATGGAAAAAAGTTCTCCTGTCACAATAAAAGCTCTTAACTATGTCTGTATGCACTTAAAATCTTCTCCTCTTTTCAATAAGGTGCAAAACGTTATTCCCTCCCTATTTTCTCCTTTGTACTGGCCATGTCAGCTCAATTTCTCCCCAACACAAAGCTGCGATATCCCTTTTACTGGGCCTACACTAGGAACTACACTGGAAGTGTGATTTGCAACAACCCTCATTAGTAATACTAGACAATTTAAAAAAAAAATTACTTTAAAAACTACTGATGTCTAATGGCTGGACCTGACCCCGGCTCGGCCAAGCGCCGCTGCCAGCTGCTGCCGGGAGCGGTGACATAGCTAGTACAAAATGGATTTCAGTAGCTCACCCAAACTGAAAAAGGTTGGGAAATTCCCCCACCCCCACTTTTGTAACACTGCGAAAAGAACAGTGTTCAACAAGTTAATACATTATTAAAAAAAAAAAGGAGCAAATACATACATTAGTGAGTTTCAACATTAGCTGACTGTCGTGAAGAGTTGCATCTATGCCTTACCAGATTAGTAACTTCGCAAAGCGCCTGGCCATCCGAGCCACCTGCGGCCACCCCCGGCCCGTTTTTGCCCTCAGCTGCCCAGATCCAAACCCAGTGGACTGGAACAAGAATTCTGCAGAGCTTGTTCAACGGGAGAGTACCTGGGCCCTGGACTTTTAAAGCAAATGCCAGGGTGGAATCTCCTCGCCAGCAGGTGTGAAGGGGCAGACCCGCACTGCCGGCAGAGCCAGTGGTCCCACCCTGGCTCCACCCCGGCTGGGGATCTGGGCCCTGAAGTTTCTGCCCATCACCAGTCTCGTAGTACAGCAAGGACAGCTTCAACAAGTGACTCCGCTCGCTGCAAACAACACTTCCAATGCACACCTACTGCGTGATCGAGGGAAAGGGCACAGGAGCTTTAACTGCTCAAAATAGAAACTAACAAAAAAGAAACAACCTTGGATGAAGCCTCCAAAAAATCCTCAGTGGAAGACTTGCGTCCTTTCAGCTAACAACAAGAAAAAACCTACAGAACCCTTAGAGACAGTTATTGTATAAATACTACCTGTTGGCTGAATGCACTTCACCGTGACACAACTGGGGCCGGTTTCTAAGTGCCCGGGGGTCACTTGCACAGGGCGAGTGTTCCCCTCCCCTGTGCCTGTGGGAGCCAAAGATTGGGTCACCTCCAGGGAGGGGGATGGGAGCAGCTGGAAACTTTGCCCTCTCCACCCTGCCCACCAGCTCCCAACTGCCCAGCTCAATCTTTGGACAGGAAAAGGATCCTCTCTTCAGAAACTGCTTCAGGATCCTCTCCTTTTGGCTTCTGAAAAACATCAGTCTTGCCATTGGTCAAGACCGTCACTGGAACCGTGTGACCAGCTGCTCCTGGCAGCAGCGGTGGGAGAAAGGGGCAGTGACTGGGGCAGGAGGGCCGGGTCTCCTCAGGTACCATTCTGCTGCTAGTGCTGGGCAAGGATACCTTATTACAAGCACTTCTAGCTCAGGGTTGTACTCTTTGGATTTCATCTGGACCAGGAAGTGCTGAAAAAAACTGGAACAGCATCCCCAGAGAGAGAAAAAAATGGGACCAAAAGGTCTCAGGTGGAAACTACGCAGGTTGTGCTCAGGCGGCAGCAGCTCTCAGCCCGAGGGCTGCCAGCACCAGCAGGGTCCCCACACCCGGGCCTGCCCAGGGCACGGCCAAGGCTCCCTCGGAACCAGCCTTGACCTCTGGGCTGCCAGGGGCTCCCTCAGCACAGGCGGAACAGACTTAAAGCCAAAATACAACTGGAGAGGGAGACTCTCGTTTTGCACAGTAGCCACCCTTCGAAGTGCCCGGTAGCTGCACTCAGGAATTGCTGCTCCAAGGTGTATTTTCAGCACAGGAGTTAACAGCATGACTCCATTCCCCAGAAATGGGACCCATGTAATACGAACAGAAAATTAAGCACAGTTGTTCTTTAAGAGCCTTTTAAGTAATAATTCTTCCTGGCCAGAGCCAATACAAATCAGATCATCTAGACATGACATTTTCTATATACAAAAAACATGTAACTTTCAACCTTTCTCTGCTTTTGTATTTAAAAACTTTTTTTTTTTACAAACAAGGTATGAAACTCACTGTTCAAACAGAGCCATCTCTTTTTCAAACACTGAATGAATCATTCCAACATTCATTTTTCTTTTGTGCAATTTTTTAAAACATTACCTGTACTCCTCAATGTGAGTGCTTCAAAAAAAGTTTCTATTTTTTATAAGCTTCTCAAATTAGGTTTACATCAAAAAATATTCCCACAAGGTATAGTGCTACAAGAAAAGATCCTATCAGTAAAGGTAACACATCTGAAGCGAGGTCGTCTATGTAAAAGAAATTGAACTCTGGAGTAGAGGTGTGCAACGCGTTTGGAATTTCCCTATGGGCACAAAGCAAGGCTGTCCTCAGGACAGGGAATCAAGTGGACATGTAGGCATACACATAAAAAAATGCACACATAACTTCTTTGTGTGCAAACAGACACTTCTGCCTGGGGGTGTGTGTGCACATATGCATATCTGCTTCAACAAATTCTCATTTTGCTATGTATTACAGGATTTGGGAGAGTGGGAGGGTTGGAAAAACCAGAGAAAAGGAAATTACTGCCTCCACTCTGGTGGCATGTTCCCCTTGCTTTTCACATCAACACTGGCCAGAGCTCACAGTGGACTCTGCTGCTACCTGTGATGATGGGGAGGGAAGAAATGGAAACTGTACGAGTGCATATCTCATTCTGCCATTTGTCAAGTTTCAATGGGCCAAATCCCCTCTACCTGCCCAAGGCTTCTGCCCTGGTCAACCCCAACATTTTTCCAACTGCCCAGTTAAGGCCAGGATCCGGCCCTGATTGAACCACGCTTCAGTTCCACAAAGATTTATGCATGTGCTTTACAGCAAGCCCCTGAGCAGCCTTTGCTGGCCAGCCCAGACCTCCCATGCACACACGTATAAGCTTTTGCAGAACTGTGTCCCATGACATGCAGAGCATTGCACCAAGAGCCACTCTGAAACAACACTATTAGTGTTTAAAAAGATTGAGAATTCGCTCTCCTTGACGTAGGCTTTTTTTTTTTTAAGTAGTTGCAAGAATTAACAGAATTTCACCATTTCCTTTTTACTACTGGCAACACACTTTAAAGTAATATAAATCTCTGCAGAGAGTGTATTTTCATGGTAACCAACAGCTACAGTTCATGCTGACCCTGCTGCTTTTGTATTGCAATCTAAATGAGATCTACAAAGTTTAAACTATGAGATGCAGGAAATCCAAACTTGTCTGTAACATTGTACATCCCTACTCCGGAGCAGTAAAAGTGCTGCTTCTGGTCACATCAGTGTACCACACATACACCAGCCCCATCCCTGAGTAAAAGGTGTGAAAGGTTTCTAAATGTTCCTTGATTTAAGGGAAACAAGAGTAGTGATGTCACTTCCCCATGCTGAGAAAATGACGGGAACGACAGGTCGAACAAAGCGACAGTGGGACAAAGGAATTAAAGGAATGAAAAAAGGAACGTGTGTCCCTCCCCTCCTCCCGAGGTCTGCGTCTTTGAGGGAAAGAAGTCTAAGGGCAAGGTACAAAATGGTAGAATAGGTCAACAGCGACTCCGATTCGGGTCTCGACCAGAGGACTCGAGGTAAGTGACATCAAACTCAAATTCCCCACGATGTGGCCCAGACAAACTGAAACAATGCCTAAGTTAGACGCTATAAGGAACAGTCACTGTATATATAGAGATATATAAATAGATTGATTGATTGATAGATAGATAGATAGATAGATAGACAGACAGATAGATAGATAGATAGATAGATAGATAGATAGATAGATAGACAAATAGATTTTTTTTTTAAGAAATCCCTATAAAGAGGTTCTTGTTTTATTTTTCTTTGCCCTGACTAATTTCTTGGTGATTGTATGCATTTCGTTGTAAACTAAAGAGGCCTGCTACAAAAGGAAAGGAACAAACAGACAAAAAGAAAACTGCTCTCAGTTACTATTGCAAAGCGGCCGCCACGCAGAGCAGGGGCAGAGCCTCCTCCTTCAGCTTCACCTCAGCATCCCCGTGCTTGCAAGTGGTGTTTGCACCTGCCCTGGGGATCGATGGCACTCCCGGGCCTGGGGCTGCACCACAAGGGATGCTCAGTGCCAGAGGCAAAGGCAAAGCCCTGCCTTGCAAAGGACTTGGCCCTGGTGGGAGCCAGCTCCTGTGTGCCCAGGCAGAAGGTGCCACTCGGCATATGGTGAGTGCCACCCTCTCCCTGGATGCCATGTAGACATGAATACATCTCTTTTTTTCCTTTTTGTTTTTTTTTCTTTCTGGATCTCTTTAAACAACAAATACAAAATGGGTTCGTGTTTCCTGGGGCAAGGAATCTTATACCCTTAATATGGTGCGGGTTTTTGGAGGGGGGAGGACAGGGAGGGACTTATTAAAGGGGGAGGGGGGCAGGGAGAAAGGTAGAAAGAAAGAACTCAGAAGAGACAAAACCAGGGGAAATCAGAAGTGGGTATGAGATCTAGCTAACACCGCACAGGTGAGTCTAAGTTGGCACGTGAAGTATTGCACATCCTACAAAAGCTAAAGCATGGAAGGGGACAATTGTTTGGAAAGAACCAGTTATTTCAGAATTCCTCAGTCTGAAATACAAGCACAGAACTAATACATTCCTATTGCTCCAAATGTATTTTTTTATTTTTTTTTTTTAGTGTTAGTTGAATAGATCCAGTCAGTTTAATAGCCCCTGCTTCCTTATTGACCACAAATGTGTATGTGTATGGTTTTACTTGAGATTTCTTTTTTTCTAAGTACACGTGAAGTACAGAAATAGTGGTAAGACTGTGAACTAAAATCTATAATTCTTTCTATTCCTTTACCATCAAAGCTTAAAAAAAAACAACCAGGAAACAAAAAGAAACAATAAATTGCAAGTGCCCTGAGCAGAGTATATGGAAGATTAAGCAACTTCTCTGAGCAGAAATATTAACAAATAAGCACTAACTAAGCTGTGTGATTGTGAGAAGAAACCCACTCAGCTATTTGGTAGCCCGCCGAGAGGTTAATAAAATTCAAGGAAATTCAAAAAAAGTTTCAAGCTATTTTAAACATATTTCAACTTTTTGGTGCACCCCAGAATATGGTATAAAAACAATTAGGTCTGGTGTGAGCTAAATTTCAAGTAACAAGTAACAAGAGTCAAAGATGGGGTTTGGGGTTAACATTTCTTCTCTCAAAGAAAAGCACTGTATTTCAGGGGAGAGGGAAAACAAGACTTTAAATAAATTTGTTCACTTTAGGTTACTGTGTTTCTAATGACGGACTTTGATTTCCTGTTCTCCCTATGAGTACAGCTTCTCCAAAACTACCTGGAGGATGGGAACTCGCCAACCAAAAACGACGACACGAACGCTTGCTCACAGAGGGCCCAAGTGCGATCCCACTGCAATCCCACTGGGATCTTCCAAGAAGCAGCAACAGGCTTCAGCACTCAGCCCCGACACACTTCATGCTGCACCTCCCCAAGGCTTGTGCAGGAGGTTGGGTGCACAGCACCTCAGAGGATCCGGCCCTACCTGGGGAAAGAAAAGTCTGAATGCTTGAATCCCCCCGCTCCCACTTGGTTTGTACCAAACTCCTGAAATGTCGCCTTTCCAATGGAAAATGATGCAATTAAAATAACAAATAATAATAATAATAAAAATAATAAAATAACAATAGGTTTGTTTTCAAAACAAACAAACACCTTGCTTACTTATAGAAATGGGTTTTTTTCTGGAAAACTCTCTCAGCAAGTCTGAAGAAAAATTCTCAGAGGTGTCCCGGTAGGACCTGGTTCTGTGTGGCTGATAAGGTAGAAAGACCAAAAATGAACTCTGAAAGGAACATAACCCTATGAAATGGCCTAGAGCGTAGGCAGGTTAGTGAGTAATTGCTACATTTGTTTATGCTCTTTCAGACCCCCCCACCCCACAACATTATTAGGTAAAAACTGCAGGAATACCACACAAATGATAAACTCAAGATGTGCAAATTGCAAGATTCTTTAAAGTCCATCTTTTTCAAAAACACTGGACAATGATTTTTCCTCTTTCCTTTTTCCTTTCTCTTTTTTTTCTTTTTTATTATGTCAGCTCGCATATGCCTTTAACTCTTTCTCAAGCATTAAAGTTTAAAAAGTGCCTCCTATTAAGTAGTCCTTTGTGGACAATGACTGTCACATACTAGTTCAATAATTCACATTCATCCCTTTGAAACCACATTAAAACTTTCAGCATCTTGCCTGTGAGAAAACTTTACATAGTTGCATGTAGTTACAGTGTTGAAGAGATTTGTTTGTTTGTTGTTGTTGCTTTCCGAGCAGATTAAAGTGATATACAGTACGTACTGAGTGTTAGACCAGGATGCTCAGCAATAAAGTGTGAACAGCATTTTAAGTGCTTAAAGACATTCTAGGTTCATCTTCAACAGCGGATTTCTGTGTCACGCACCGCAATTTGAAAAAAGTGGCACCAGTTGTCCATAACCAAGAACTAAAACCAGTACTAGAGTTAAAGACAAAGATTTGCAACCTAACTGCAAACGATGGATGCCTGTGATCTCAAAGGGGCAGTCTGCATCTACCTTGTGGAAGCAAATGTCAATGGCATAACCCGGTCGATTTGTCTAACACTGCACAGAAACAGGAGTGAGCCTGAGCCAGGCGCATCTGCAGAGCCAGAGGCCTCCTCGCACACCCACGCACACCCACACACACCCAGGCACACGCACACACCCACCCACCCACCCCCCTCCCTCAAGGGAAACCCTGCGGTCGAGGCTCTGGACAGCCCCGCCGTCGCTGACTCTGGGCAATGGAACTGCACTAGCAAGCAGAAAGGAAATGTGGTGTGGCAGTTTGCTTTAGGAATAAAAATCAGTGCAGTCAGACCCCATGGGGGAAAAATATATATATACATATACAGACACACAAATATATATATATATATATATATATATATATATATATATACACACACATATATATATATATATATATATGTATAGCAGAGCCTTGAGTAAGAGTTGGCTTGTTGTTGAAAACATCAGAGACTGTCTGATCCTTTTCAGTAACACACCCAAGGGTTGGCTGTGTCCTCAGCATCCACCTGGGGTGAGGAAACCTCATCACCGACCCGCCAGAGAGCGGCCGTCCCGCCCTGGGGGCTGGCACGCACCCACACCCACACGCACACGCACACACACCCCATGTTCGACACACACCTCTGCTACAGTTCCCTTCTCCTCACCTCCCCCCAAAAAAACTAGAACAGGAACCAGAACAACAAAACAAACACAAAGCGATGAAAAGAAAACAAAATCACAGCTGGACCCTGTCCTACACGAGGTGTTAGAAAACAGGAGCCATGACAACACATTCATTTCCACTAAGGGTGTGTGAAGCAGATACTGCCCCTTCTGTAGCTCTCGATAAACCTAGTCACTGACAAACACTTGTGGAAAAACATATGCACCAGTCTCCTGCATAATACCAGCTGCAACTATAACAACAAGGTTATAACATAAACCTAAAATAAGATGATAACATGTAAATACTGGGTTATTTAGTCTACAGTACAGTAATCTGGATAAAAATGACAAGGGATAGCCTAATTTCCTTTCCCCAAACAACTTTTACTTTCCTACGTTGGATCGACCTTCAATGCAAATCTTAACCTCCTGAGGAATAAAAGAAGGCTTGGGAAGAGTCAAAGGTGGCTCCTCTTCTGATTTCTCTAGTTTTCGTGTTTCGGGGGCTGACCACCTCCTCTTCCTTGTTGCTGGGGGCTTGCTGGGTTCTGTTTTGGTGAGCAAAGGTGCTGCAGGCAATCCTATTTTGTCCGGAAACTTCAGTTCACCGTTCTCAGCTAACATCTGTGCGCTTCCCTGATTAATCCCGTTTTCCTGCTCCGCATACCTGTGTCTACTTCCAGCTAGACTGTCATTCTTTGAATGCTTCAGCAAGATACTAGCTGAGTCCATGGGCTGGCCCTTTTTAATAGAGCCGTTCTTCAGGTTCTTGAGTGTGAGCGATATGCAGACGTCCCCCACTGAGAGTTTGGAGCATGGCAAATCAAAGAGCTGGTTGGTTCTTTCAGGGCAGCACGATGACCAGCCTTGTCCAAATACAAAAAAAGGGTATTCTACCAAGACTTCCACGCTGACCTGCAAAAAGAGACAGGACAACACAGGAAGACAGAGGGAGAGAGAGGGGAGAGCATGAGATCACTCCATGAGCCCTCACACACGTGCAGTGCTTGCCACAGGGGAGAGGGATAAAGCTGGAATTGCCAAGGCGATGTTCAGTTTCTGCAAAATCAGAATATTGGTCACCAGACTTCACGCCAGCTCTTGTCACCCAGCTCTTAATACTTTCTCTGAGCTCAGTACTTCATAGAACAAACTTCACCAGGAATCAAGCTTTACCTTTTTCCAGCCATTCAGACAGGCGTAAGAGTTCAAACAGCTTCAGTGTCTGGCCAACTGTTTCCTACCATCCCCTTGTGGTACCTAGAACTGTAATTTAAATCTAAAGACCATTTCCAACCAGAGGATGGGCCAAGAGAAGCTCTCAGTTCTGACATAAGATTTCCTAAGTGATCACAGGAATGTCATCCTGACCTCTGTCTGAACACGCACTCACTGAGCAGCGTGAAAGGGTGAAGGTACTCTGATTGTCAGGGGAAGGCCACGAGCACACACAAAGTTGTAGCCATTAAGAGCAGCAAATGAGAGCCTGCCTTCCCCCAGCAGTCTGTTACCAGTCCAGTTTCTTCCCTTCTCACACATGGTCTTCCACTCTGCTGCAGAGTTTATCTCCTGCACTTCCTCAGGGAGGTGGTCATCTTTCCTCCTCCTGTGGTTCCCCTTTCCCTCTGCTTCACCCCACTTTAAAGACACATCTGGTTAGGAATCCTACCTAACCATCTTATGGGGAGCTGCCATGGCCAGAACAGACCAACAGCAGGTGCCTCCTGCTCCCTGACCTTGCAAATGCTGGGCCTTGAGGCCCCAACATGATAAAAAACACCTGATAAAACCATGATAAAATACCCACTTATCTTTGCACGTGGTAGCAGTCCAGCACTCACTGCAGGCTCAAACACTTGATGTGGACTCATGTGATTCTCAACCCATGGGGCTGACACCCCCCCTCCCCAGCCCACTACAGAGAGAGCAGGAAATTCTGACTAATACTTCTTAAAAACTTGGCACGTGCTTTTAACTGCTGCCTGTCACATCAGTGAGGTCTGTGACTGTAAGAGGCTGGCTTGTGCTGGAGACAGATACCCACTGCTCTGCTCCCACAGGCCTCGTGTCCTCTGGAGCTCTTCTCAGGCATGGGGGCACAATCCCACTCTGATGGTGTAACCCTAATTTGGTAGGGGCAAAAGGATCACCTGAATACATGTGCTCACCTCATTTCTGAGCCATTCAGCAGCCACAGACTGCACCAGCTGCCTGGAGAGTCTTCCCTCTCCAGGACCACAGACTCACTTAAAAGGAAGATCACAGCAGGTTTGTGAAACCCTCTCACCCCTGGAACGAGTAACTCTGTCACACCCAGCATGGCTTTGCACCATTAAAAATGCATTTTGACACAGAAGCAGTTTGAGATGCACACTGCACTCCAGAGTTCCAACACATCTGTTCATAATGTTACGTGTGAGCCTTGGGATGGAGTTGCACGGTCTGTCTGTCTGTCTGTCTGTCTCACAGAAGAGGCTGGGCTCTATGGAAGCACGGCCCCCAGCAGCCCTGCCCCTTCCCTGCTAGCAGTGCCACCCCCACAGCTGCTCTCCCTGCAAGCAGGGCCCCTGGTAGTGCCCCTCACACCCCACCAGCTCCACAGCCCTTTTGGGCAACAAGACTTGCTCAGGAATATCTGACAGCTCAGAGATAGAAGCTCCAGAAGCAGGAAACCAATGATTCCCACCGGATGTTGACGGTGTCTCTGACTATGTGCATGCCATGCACTAGCAGCCATAAACTGCTGTTTATGGAGGGTTGATTCTGTTGGAAAAACCTAATTGAGTCTATAAATATATGCTATGCACTTCTGCAACTAGGCCAGTGGATAACACTGCATCCATTATCCTGCCACTCCACCTGCCCAACACAGTAAGCCACTGTACACGGAATTTCAAAAGGAGCAGTTTAGAAGTGTAAGACACTACATCAATTTTTGTCATTCTAAACCTTTTCCAACAAGAACTATTTGCCAACAAACTACACACACTGCAGTAGTGGAAAGGGACCTGATCTGAGCCCTGGTTTAAGCTCTGAACTATGGAGAAACTGGAGTGAGGTACCCATGAAAGCCCCAGCCCTTCATGTCACTGGATAGAAACACTCCAGCATGAGGATTTGCAGAAATATTTGCCCAGAGCTTGGGATCCTATTCCACACATATGCATCTCAGTTTACCTGGAGTCTAATCAGGAGAAGTAATGAGTATCCAGAATCTCCCATGGACTTATATGGAAGCTGCTGTCTACACAAGAACTGTAGGCTGTCTCCAAGCATGGATCATCTGGTGGACAAAGCTTTCTCCTTTATATTGCTTTTTCTCACATCTTTCTTCCTTCTTGCCTGCTCATTTTTTTTCTTTCCTTTTCCACTTTTCCATTCCTGTCAGAAGCTATTTGTATCTATGGGAATCATACTTGGTTGTGTGCATCATCCTCACCAACACACAAGTTCCTTTTGATGTCAACACATTTCCACCACACATTATCATTTTTTTTAAAATGTAGTATCCAAAACACTTGTCTGAAGGGTTGATCACTGAAACACATACCAGAATTGGTGGTGGTGATCATGAATAACACCAAAGACGGTGGAATGCTAGAATCCCCACGATCTGGTCACACTGTGCATGTACCACTTTTGATTTGAAATGGGGAAGTTCCCTCATGGATTATGAAGCCCTGTTTGAGCTGTCTGCTTCTGGGTTCAGCTAAGGAGGGATTTGAGGCAACCATTCTCTAAAAACAAGTTTAAGAACTTTGAAGTGTGAAAGTTCAGTAAAAACACCCCCACAAAATTTTTTCTGACCATTGCATTAAAAGACAAACCCCTTTATTTTAAAAGCTTCCCTCCAACCCCCCAGTATTTGCCCCCGCAATTATTATAGGAGAGAAGGAAATTTGGAACTTTTCTACCTACTAGTAAGAGGATAAAGTAAGAAACAAAGCATGTTGATTCCTCTCAAAGCATACTGAGGCTCCATTGCAAGCTAAGTAAGTTATTATTTCTATTTGTTAACACTGATTAGTGAAAGCAGCCAAAACTCTTCAGTGCAGCCACTGAAAACTGAAACTTTCTATAACTCTTTGTAATTTTTATTTCTCAGCCAAACTCAGTAGGCAGGACAGGCTTAAGACAGCTTAAGAAATCCCATGTGGAGCTGGAATACTTATACTAGGGGCTGGAAGATCTGATGCCCAGGAAACACCCTTCCCATCACTGAGAAACACAACTTTAGTTTTGGGCCTCGCTGCTGCAACCAAAATAACAAGCACGAAAGCAAAAGGTGCCTAATGAAAGTGGTTCATGTGAACAATATTTTAATAAATGTAAACATGCATTTTCCAAAAAAGTGGTTTTTTTCCATAATGCTATTAAAATGTGATGAAACTAGGAGTGGCAGGTTGGAAACAAAGAGAAGGAAGCAGTTCTGGAAACAATGTGCAATTAAGCAGCAGAGCTCTCCACTGAAGGCCTTGCTTTGGGTGCTGAAAGGCTTCTCGGGCCCAAAAAACAACTGGATGAATTCACAGAATAGAAGCCCTCCTCCTCACAGAGAGGAGCCTCTGCAGTGCCCTGCTCCCACACAACCTCCCCTAGTCAGAAACTTCAGGACTTCTACTGTTCTCCCTACACTCCGATGCCTTCACAAGAGTGGATTTCTGGGGCTGCAGGCAGCACCTCGTGCCATGGAACCACTCTCCAGAGCAGGCTCTGCCTGGGCCCCAGGGCTGCATGTACCCAGTTCAGTCCCCTGTTCTATGGCAAAGGCAGGCAGGGCTGGAACGGCAGGGGCTGCCTGCTGCTCCCTGCAGTCACGCAATGCCGTCATTTCCCAAGAGAAGCCGCCTCTCCTCCAGCAGACCACAGGCTGCCGCCTTCATCACATGAGCTCTGTCATCTGCTGCACTCCCAGAGCTCGGGAACGTGAGGACAGACCACAGCCACCCATCACTTGCAGACAAAAGGACTTACTGTCCTGTGACCAGGGGACACAGAGATCACATGAGGGGAAGGCTGGCAGAGATCTCTATCTGCAGCAGTGAACTGAGTCAACATCTCTTTCTGTGTCTGTTACGGTGACAAGGATAATGAAAAGGGGAGCTCAAAGAAAAAATAACCATTTGTGTGTGCATTGAAAGATGTAAGGGGAAAACTGAACTAGATGATGGTCTAAAAACAGATGCACTAAACTAAACTAGTTAGGGCTAATAACTGCATACTCTAATGGGACTTTCCCATCTCTAGTGGTGTTGATTCCGGTTTGGTTTGGCTGTTTTTTTTTTTTTTTTTTTTTTTTAAGGGAAATTAAGAACTGCATGCTCATCTTTTCCATTTAATCTATACTTTAGAAATTATTAGGAACTGAAGTGTAGCATTTCAGAGAACTTATTTTGCATAGTCTGTGTGCTTTGACCTCAACATCAAGGGAGGTGAATTACTTGCTTCTGTGTTCTCCTGGCAGGAAAAGGATAGACAGGTGATGAAATTCTATAACACATACTTATAATTCTATAATTCTATAATACATAATCATGGTGAAATTCTTATTACAAAAATAATATATGGTATTCCAAAGAGATGTAGATCCATGGGTCTTATCTTCTAGGCACCTTGAATGCACAGGAGCAGCAGCTGGACTTTATGTTCTGGCCCAGATGATACTTACTTGACTTGTTAATCCAGAGCTGGGATGCTGTGAAATGGAAACCTAGCATCTCTCCAGGGGTAAAGACAGTTAGTTAATTTATTTCAGTTACTAAGACCTTCAGGTGTGTTGATTTTCCTCTAGGTTTCCATACCTGGAAGAAGGATGGATTTTCTAGGTGACTGGAGGACTGGAAAAACAGGGAAGATGACACCTTTCTGCCTAGGTGCTGTGCTGGGCAGGGCCAGCTGTGGGCTGGCAGTGACACGACACAGGAGCAGCTGCCCTGTTTACATGGCAGGGGTATACGCTCAGCTGAAAATAACCTCCTACCTCTGTCCCTCAACTGGTGAGAAAATTAGCTACTGTTTGCACAGAGCTTGGAAATACAGATTCATCAATATTATAATAACTTCCCAGCGATCCCTGAGAGGAGTAAGTAAGTGAGCCAAAGCTAATGATAACAACCCTATTTCTGTATGGCACTTACTCTTTACAAGTTACACTCCCTTGGTAATACCACTCGAAAAGCTCTCTCCCTGCAGAAGCACGTATGCAAGTGAAAGTCAATTGTAATGAAATACTTTGTGGAGCTGCACTACACACACAGCTCTATCCCCCTGCACTCCAGAGTCAAGAGCTCCATTTCAGCACGGCAGCACCACAGTGCTGGTGCTCAGAGCAGCTCCACAAAGTGCTGCTCTTTCAGAGAGAAGACTAAGCCTCTTCACACAGGCAATTTTCTAAGGAGTAATGACTGCTGCACACCTGCAAATAAGGCTGAATGCTTCCAGAGCACCACGGCAGGCTAAGGGTGAGGTCAGAGACTTCAAGAATGTAGAAATGCATCCGCTCTCTCTCTTTCTCTCCCCCCTCCCAAAGGCAAAGGAAAACCAGCAGTAGTCCCTGCTAGGCAGGGACACAGCTGATCTGGGAAGAGACCCAAGTCCTGGAATCTGCAGGAAACCTAAATTAAACCCTCGTTCTAATCATATCTCTACGTGACTCGCCCTCCATTCTGGAAGCATCCCCGGTGGGAAACACAGCTGGGGAGTATTTCGGCTGCGATGATGTCAGCCTGCTCCCGATAGGCTTCTCTGTAAGGTGACACTGCTGGGTGAGACCCGTGTGCCAGGCCCTGCATGTGCAGAGCCTCGGACTTGCTCCCTTTCTGCCAGAGGATGGCACTCCACCCCCTGCAAAAGAGCAGCTCTTCCCGGGACCGCAGTCCCTTGCCTGCCTTGACAGGGCTGTGACCGAGACATGACACAAACGCTATCTGCTCATTTGTACCCCTTCTTCTGGGCAGACACCGATGGCCTGGCTGCAGGCAGAGAAATGTGTGCAAGATGAAAATTGCAGAGTGGAGATTGCTAGTTTTGAAATCTCATTATTCAAGGCACCATGGCAAATTATAGTAACTGGTCCTTATCCAAGGACAGTTCCTCTAACCTGAGATGCACCAAAATACAGTTAAGCAGTGGGGAAAAAAATCGAGTCTCTATACTGGAAGCACGAGAGGCTCGACTTCAATCAGCTGTGCCGATGCAGGCACATGCAGGAACAATCCCACACAGGGAATATACCTGTTTGACTTGAGAAGGAGGATATGCCACATGTAGTGATTCACCGTGTGTGCAGTCTTGAGAAAGGACAGGCCACAGGCTGCTGAGACTGTAAGAAATTTTCTGTGTGATCTGCTCCTCAGTACCACCACTGTTTGCTTTCCTCCTCCAAACCATCAGCCTGAGGTGTGTTACTACCTGTGCCCCTCCCTACCTGTGCCCAGTTCCTCTCATTCTCCTTCTCTCTCATTCTGCTTCTCCAGTGCTGAGGCTGCAGCATCAGAGGTGCAGATGGTGGAGCTCACAGCACTCACACCAAAACAAAAAGATTTGCAGCAGGATTACCTAAACTGAGTACCTCTAGGAAGCCAAATGCTGCACAGTACATCTGAACTTTTCAGCATCAACCAACAGAATCTAAATTGCTCAGAAAATGGATCAAAAGCATCAGGAATATCCACTTGTTCTCAACCTAAAAACACCTCTGGAAAGTTACAGGTTTTCTTCCTGCTTTGCAAACAGAGAAACAGAGGTCAGAAGCACAGCCTGCCCAGACACCTAGACAGTTTTTCCTCCCAAATTGCACTTGACCACAGAGTTTACATGAGCCATGCAATGTTAAAACCACCTTCAAGCAAACCTTCAGAAAAACTCTGAAGTGCATTTCAGTAGCTTATGTGCATGAGAATTATTACCAGGCAACTCCAAGTTTTTAAGCCATGGAAATTCACTGCCTTGTGCCCAACCTATCTCTTTAGGGTCAGTTTTGATCTGATTCTATCACAACCCTTCTGGTGTGAATTGTAAAAATCACCTATCAAAATGAAAAATGTAACCTTTCATACTCCTTACATTATCTGGTATTTTAATCAAAACCCATGAAAATCACATAAGTCTTCCTGTGAGTTCCCCAGCTATAAAAGAGACCCATTTGATATCCAAGAGTCTACATCTATCACCAGTGTGACCTGATGGCTCCTCCCTGCACAGTGAGTGGGACGATTTTTGGTCTACAGTTTGAACAACAGATGGATGAAGAACCAAGCCCAAGTGGATCCAAAGCAGGTGTGGCCTGGAGGGCCAGAGCATGCACCCCAGTCCAACCCCCCAGCCCCTCACGCGATGCCATTACCTGTGCTCGATGCTCCCCCACGGCAAACTGTATGACGGCGATGCCCGGGCTATGGCTGTCTTCGATCCTCTCCACAGTGCTGGAGTCTATTTTCAGGTCGTTGCTGATTTCCGCGCTCTGAATGAAGTCTTCTGTTTTCAAGTCCTCCACTTTCTTCAGCTCCCCGTTGGCCAGCTGGATGATCGACCCCTTCATGAAGTAAGGGGGCAGCGTGGGGGGCGCGGCGGCAGGGGAGGCGATGGACTGCACCACGGGCAGGTGGATCTGCGCCTGCACCATGGTGGCCTGGTAAGCAGGCTGGGTGGTGAGGGGCTCCGCGCTGAAGTTCTCGCTCTTGGGGACGGCGGTGGTGACGAACGTGTGAGGCACTGCTGCAAACTGAGGAGACGACGTGACAATCGCGGGCGTGACTCCTGATGGCTCGACGTCCGCGCTGCCGACCGGAATCAGCAGGGACTGTGTGCCCGGGATCACCAGGTGCTGCGGCAGGCTGCCGGGGTAGCCGATGGCTTGCTGCTGGCCGCTCAGGTAGCCGATCACCGGCGGCTGGGTGCCGGTGTAGAAAGCTGTCGCCGGCAGCCCCACGGGGAGCTGCTCGGAGGCGCTGTGGGTGGTCTGAATGACGGTGTGAGGGGACAGCGTGGCCACCGCCTTCACGCCCTCGTGGCCCAGAGCCTGCTGCGGAGACAAGGCATAGGACCGGTGGGTTGGCTTTCCTAAGTGCAAACTTCCCTTGTCGTTGAGGGCTGAAGGAGAGGTCTCACGGTTGGCGACCTGCTGCACTTCCATGTCCGCCGTGGGCGTGCTGCTGTTGGGGACCACCATGACAGAGGCTCGGACACCTGAGGAATCCCGCACGCCGTACTCAGCGGGGCTCGAGTGGACCACCACGTGCCTGGTCTCATAGTGATGGGGAGCTGGTTTATTGCCTGCTTTGACTAGACCCATGTCGGCAGAAGGCGAAATGCCGTACCTCCGGCTCTTCTCTATCTCGCCGTTCAGTACCTCCTTGGCCTGCATCGCCTGCAGCCGGCTGCTCTCGGGTTTCTTGGGGGCATCCCTGGTGACAAAGTGGCCCCCCGAGTCAGTGTACTGCACCACCACTTGGGAGGAAGGGCCAAGGGTGAGGGTGTGCGGGATCACTGTCTGATGTGGGTGCAGGGGGACTGGGATGGTTGGAGGAGAGACGTTTCTGACAGTGCTCTGGGAAGAGCTGGAAATGTGGACGTACTGGTTCTGCTGGGTGGGCGGAGGAGACCCAGCAGCGATCAGTCCAGGCGTCCTGACCAGGTGCGGCTCAACTTTGTGCCCCTGCTGGCTTAAGCCGCTCATGCTGGCCAGCAAAGTGGAATAAGCCTCCAGCTGGGAGCGCTGGGATGGAGTGGTTGCAACAGCGGTGGCCGCCGCCACGGCGCTGGTCGCAGAATTGGCCGTTGGGGAGATCAGCTGCGAGGGGATGAATCCGGTGTACGATCCGCTGTACTGGGGCCCGACGAACTGGAAGGTGTGCTGCAGGTGAGTGTACTGCACGGGGGAAACGGGGGTCCCTGACTGGGAGAGGGCGGGCGAGTACACCGTGGGAAGAGTGGTAGAGGCCGGAACGGACCTGGGCGCGCTCGGCGGGGAATAGTCCATCCCTGCAGACAGTGACTTGTGCAAACCCTGCTGCAAGCCTGCCTCCACCGAGGAGGTGCCCCCGGGCCGGTGCCGGCCCCCCAGGCAGCCCTGGCCACTGGGTGTGCTGGGGAGCCATGCCAGGTTATCTGCACGGTGGTTTTCGTTTGGCAGGACCGGCTTCACCTCCGAAGGCAGGCTGGTGGCAGGGATTTCTCGCTTCTTAGGTGGCAGGCATTCATTGCTCCGCTCTTGGTTGGATTTCATCTTTCGCCGTCCCCCCTCCACTGTGCTTGCTTCACTGTCTGGCTGGCTCTGATTTCAGTCTGATAAACGGAAAGTCACATTTGATTTCTGCAGGGGATCCAGTGACTTCATGAGGAATCATCTCCCTGTGACCACGATCCTCCGACAGCTCCTCTGGATTCTGCAACGAAAGGGTGGGCAAGGGAGACCGAAGTCATATCATCAGCAATGAGAAATGAAAACAAATAAGCAGATCTCCTAAATCAGCAAATAGGAAAAAGAGTTCTGGAAAAAAAAATAAAAATGGTCAGGCATTGCCACTCTCACATCAAGGAGCAGTTGACAGCTAGCTATGCTGTAAATAGCAGAAAAATCCTGGGCACGTCTGCTAACGCATCAGGAAAACATTAAAAAAATTAGACATATCAGAAACAACCTGGCCAAAACTTGGCACATTTAGCAGCAGTTATTTATTTCCCAAGGCCCATTCTCCTTTCTCTGTGAAAACCCTCCATATCTCCATGGAGCCTGCTTTGTTCTTACAGCTTCTTCTTCTCCTGCAATGACGACACTGCCTTCACCCTAACGTGCCCTAAACCAACATGGGCACACAGCAGGGATCCCTGAGGAACAAGCACACACAAAATATTGCTAGCAACAAGCCACGGTGAGTGGTGCAGAGGGAAGGTGGTGTGTCACTGCTGAAACCCAGAGACACCGGCAGGGCGACTTCACGTGACACCTTGCAGGGCTGTGGAGGCAGCAGCTGCCTCCTGTCCCCACTCCACACCACAGCTCATTACAGGGACACGTGTGCTTCATCTCCCAGTCTGGCAATGAAGCTCAGCCACGCGAGCTATTTACAGCAGCAGCCCAGAGCCAGGGATGGATCTGAGCCAGGTTTTTGATGTCTGGTGGGGTTTTTTTGACCCAGTGCTTTGAACTCCCTCTGCTACTGACGCCTCACATTCAGGTGTCCAGGCAGGACTCTGCTGGGAGGAACTCCCTGCCACATGCAGGTAGGCCAGAGCCAGGTGCTGGCCCCATATCCATCTCTGGCAGGATCCAACCCCACTGTTTCTTAGCCCCTGCTGCACCACAGAGGCTGCTGGTACCACACTCATGGCCACAGCCACAGGTCCATGAGTTTGACTCAGGTGTCCTCAGCCTTGGGGACACCTGCCCAGAACTGCTCAGAAAAGTGTGTTTGAGTTTCCTGATCCAAATCATGAGCCCCCACCACTGTAAAAACTCGCAGTTTCATATTGGGCTGATTTTGCTGTTGGAGAAAGTAAGTTGCTTTCTCTCCGCATTACCGATTTCATCTAAAGGCAACAGTCTTCCTAACTTCTATTACCTGCTAAAGAAAATACTGTAACTGTAACATGTTTCACATTTTCTCTCTTCCTGAAACCTTGCCTTGCCTAATCAGCCTTCATGAAGAGTGAAACTTTTCCTCAGTCGCTGTCCAGCCACCACCTGTCATCTGCATTTCTGGCTGTTTTGAAAGATGTTCAAGAATGGGTGATGAGAAGCCATGCACCTCGCATGAGTGGCATCTCAACAAGAAAAGCATGCATTACATGTAAGAAGAATAGAGAGAAAGAATTAAGAGTGGATGTGAAAGAAGATGGAAATAGGATATAGCCCACTTTAAAGGGAATGCTGAGCAGCAGTAATGATACTTATGGCAAGTAATATTCCTTTGGGGGATTTCTTTCCCTGCTGCCTCACTTCTAATGAACAATAAGCCTGATGTTTATATGTGTATGAAGTACTTTGAAGACACACTAGACTCAGATTAAACCTGTCTTTAAAAGCACTCTTTACGTTTATGGTCCTCCAAGCTGCTGTAAGCCTGCAGGAAAAGTCCAAATCTTCTAATGGTTTGATACAATCAGTCTTAAGTTAATTACTCCATTCTTTAAATATTGATAAACAGTAATGAAACACCAACAGCTAGACCTGGAGAAGGAGGGTATAGCACTGTTTCAGGGTAGATTCCCTGGCTTTGAGGAGATAGGGAGGATGAAAGAACTCAGGGAAGCTTCAGATGTGCAAGGGCAAGTGTCACCCAGGGCGCAGCAGGCCAGGCACTATCCTGACCTGCCCTGCTCTGTCAGCGCCATCACCCTGGCACCACGGCTGCGGCGAGGGCAGCCAGGAGACAGGGCCCTGCTCGATCAGCATGGGCCTTCCCCCCTCCTAACAGTTGCTCAGTGTGTCTTGGCAACAGCTAAAATTATTATATTACACATGACTTACAGATTTTTCTTTTTAAGTTCGACTAAAAATAAAACTGCCGAGCTCACATTTGCGCAGTCATCCTTGGTTAACTTTAGCTCTCTGTAGCCTTGTGCCCCAGGCAGTCGGCTTGGGTAGGTAAGTCAGCAGATCCTGGCCCAGGCAGCTGCCCAGGGGGGACATCCTCAGAATGGGGTGCTCATTCTGCTCCCCCTGCCATGGGGAGCTTGTGCTGGGCTTGGACCATCCTCCAATCTCTTCTGGAACATGAGCTGCCAATCCAGAATTTAAATACGCTCCCACCACAGGGAAAAGCTGGGAGCAGAGGCAGAGGGCTGGCTTCTCTGCCTGCAACAGAGCAGAGAGCTTGTACATGGGACTGAATAGGGACAGGCTCATTTGCTGTGATGGGTAAGCCAGGTTTACCCATCAAAACCAGTGGTTCCAAAAGTTCGAGGCATCTGGGTTCAGCTTCTCTGCATTGAAATAGTACTATGAAGCTCTGTGAAATGGGGTGAAGTTTCATTATGCAGGAGCTGAAGCAAAGATTTTATTCTGCTAAATAGCATTGAACCACTGAGGTTTGGGTAGCCTCCAATGTTAAAGCTAACATCCTTCAAAAATACCAAGTACTAACTCTTTTGGGTTGTGCGTTTTGGTTTTTTTGGTGTAAATTCTTCAGATGGCCGACTACATCTTTACTGGTAACAAAAGGACTGCCCAAAATCTCCTGGAGAACACAGGAGGAATGAATAAATTTAATGGAGACAAGGGATGAGGCAGCCATAGAGCAGTGAATACTGCCCCACTTTTTCAAGACCAGGCACTTCACAGTGAGACTTTGAGCTCTTAACAGACACACGACTGCATCTGCAAAAAATGGAAATACGTAGCATAAAACAGCCTACCTCTACTTCAAGATCTAAAAGTAAAACAGTAACTTTTCAGCATTATTCAAGCTCCAGCAACAGTAAAGATAAGACAGGACTGATTTTGCTTGGGAAGCAATGAAAGGGAGACAACCCAAACAAGAGTGTCTCAAAGGTAAGAGGTACAAGACCTGGTTAAGCAGTTTTTTGCTGGCTGTCCTAGAAAGATGAATGCTTGCCTTCTGTGGTGTGCCGCAGGGTTTGTTATTTGCATGCTTTTTTTTTTTTTTATTCAAGACATTTTTCTGACTCTGGAGCTTTCCTTAACTTTAGAGCTGTCAATCATGATTTGTAGATATGCAAATGAGCAGGAAACACCAGGTGATTTTTTGCTCCTGTGTGTGTCACAAGTGCGTGCGTGCGTGCAGGCATGTGTAATTATGGCTGGGAAGGTAAAAGGGACAAAGAGATCAGGGAGAGCAGCTGGACTTTGGTATCTCTGGCAGTGAGTACACATGGAACATTGCTAAACTGTCTGGACAGCCAGTGTCCGCTGGCAGTCTGCCCACACTCAAATTCCTGGAAAGGCTTAAGGCAGAAAAATAATCACTTGGAGGAGTCACCATCTGGGCTTGCTCTGGTCCCAGAGGGATTGCTCACTGGAGCTCGAGATGTGCATTTTCATGCAAAACTCCAGGATCTCTTTGCAAGGCACTTTAAATCTCACTGTGTTTCCCAAAACAACGTTTTTCTACTTATTTAATCGAATAAATTTAAAACACAGGGGAGGATATTGGGTTATAGCTTCAGATGCTGACCTCCTTTATTAATCTGGAGTTCACTGCAGTGAAAGTAAAACCAGCAATGCAAGCATCCAAACACAGCGACACGCTGTGTCCCACCAGCCAGGACTGAGCCTTGGGGTGCAGAGAAATTGGGGCCAGAACCACAGAACACAGCAGCACCTGGCTATGCAAACGGTGGGACTTTCACTGCCTTGAGAAATCAAGCACTTTCTCTGTCCCATGGTGCAGCTAACATGCTTTTTTGGGTCCCTAAACCTCCTTCAAAAATCTGTTCCCTGAATCCTCCTCTGGTGCCCGACCTTTCTGGAGTTGCCAGCAAGCTCACACCATCATGTGCCAGCAGCAGGAAGGACTGGTGCAAGAGGCAAACACCCAAGGGGGGGGGGGGGGGGCAGTCGTCAGCTTCCAACTTCAGGGGCATTCAATTAAGCCAGTCACTTATTGTCAAAAGGCTCCTTTGATCGCAAATCCTAAAAACACACAGAGTACTATGACCTTTCAACTTCCACTTTCCAGCTCCAGGTACGACCGGCAAACTCTCACATTTTTCCGTGAGATATATCTAGTGCACATTTATGCACTACAAAAACTGTGTCTCTCCTCCACCAGACGCTGTTGCCCTGCCCGGCACGCAGCTGTTAACGCGACATTGGCGGAGCGGAGCCCCACACGCGGCTCTTTATGCCCGGGTGTTACCGGGCAGATGCAGCGGCGCAGCGCGATGCTCCCGCCCCAAACCACCCGCCCGTCCTATCACGAGTGAGTGATTTCGGCAGCGCTGGAAAGGAGTGACAAGGGGAGGCACTTCGTCCCACCTCTCCCCTCCCCTCCAAGGAGGCTGGCATCTTGCAGGATCGGATTGGGAGAGACGAAAAGGCAGACACGCTGCAGAGGGCTCCGCAGCTGCATTGTGCCTCTCAGATCCGCACGCCAGCTTTCTCCCCGCCCCGCTCTACAGCCTGCCCGCTGCCAGCTACATATTCATGGTTGTAGCTGCTACAGATTCCATCAGCCCTGCCATGTGCAGCTCAGCGCAGGCCAACAATAGCTATAGGAGTTTATTGTCCAACCCGACCAGTTTCACAGCTCCCTGGCAGAATTCCCGGGAGAGCCAACTGCAGAGATCCATTAATAAGGAACATGAAAACCTCTAATAAAATTTGAAATTCTCCTCCCAAAATGAAAGGATTCTTGATCAACACTGCATCCACAAGACAGACTGTGCAGTGCAGTGTTAGTTCTTATTATACTTCTGGGAATCT